ATGGTTCAATTTGTTATATTCCTACTCTCTTTGCTCTGTTTGTATTCATTTTCTTGCAGAAAAAAAATAATTTTAAAAAATTAAACTGAAATGATGACTGAATACGTCAGAAGAAGTGAGAAGAGGAGAAAACTTGAAGACCTGTTTGTCTACCAGAAATGGTATCACAACAGCTATTGGATTCTTACAGTATTTAGTTCTTATATACTTAAGTCTCCTTCCAAGACATTACAGTGACAGTTACAGGAGGGAGGTCTGAAGCTTTTTGCAATTTTTTTTAGTACAGTGCAAGCATCAGGAAAGTGCTGTTACTATAAAAAACCCACATCATTTTTTCCTAAATGATTCACAACTAATAAGCGTAATAACAGCTTACATAAATTACATAGATACATTCAGAAGACGGGCAGAAGTGATGTGAGGGAATGTCTCAGCTACACATTTTCAACCACACCAAAGGCAGAAAGTCCCAGTTCCTTTCTGTGTACTACAAGGCAGTTTCTAGGTATGCTATTACACACCAGGAGAGCCAGTGATGTTTACATTCCTAAGCTATGCTTTCTTTCCAAAATATGAGGCCTCAGTGTGAGCATCTCTGCAACACTCATGTCCTGAGAAACGCTACCTATGGAAATCTTACATGGAAAATGGGTCTGCAGGGCTCAAAGTACTGCTCTGAGTTATTGGAGGGGAGATTAATGGGGGAAGGAAGCGCGCAGTCACTCTTCCCTCCCAGTTTAATATGGACCCAACTCTGATTGCCACTGGTGTGCTTCTGCAGGCAGCGTGCACATTCCTCATGCCTTCCGCAATATTTCAGAATGGGGAGATGCCTACATGTTCACAATTATGTTTGCTCACTACCATGAATAAAATACTTTCTGTTGGTCTTTCAGCTCTGCTAGCACTTGCACATAGCTGATGTTGCCATTTGCAAACCACTCTAAACAAATGCCCCGTGATGAAAACCCCTTGTCAAGAAGCCAGGCCAAGCTCACACATTTTTGTAGGGAACATACTTCTTGGTGGCTTTTTTATTTTTTGTATAGATAACCAACCAAAACACATTGAAATGATCATAAAATGCTTACAATGGGGGAAAAAGCTGGAAACATGCAGCAAATGAAGAAGCGTTTTGGAAGCCATGTGACAATTTAAGCGTTGTCCTTAGTTTTATGTTTTGTTTTTTTTTTTTTGTCTCCTCCTACTCAGCGAAGACTTAAAAAAAAAATCCTATTAGAATTCATTAGAATTCATCTTCATTGTTCAGATGTCATGTGCAGTTTGGTTAGTGAATTACTATTAACCTACTGTTTTTCAAGAGATTTTCACTAAAAGAGAATGAAGATGCATGCATATGCAGACACAGGAAGAAAACTTATTCCTGAGAGGCTTCGGCCTCCAGCAGATTTTGAAGTCTCAGTGATTCGTCTTATTTCTCATTTGATAGAAATGGTCTCAGCCTTTGGACTGTAGCTGAGAAAACACTTTCTTTTGCAAGTATTCTCATGTCAAGGCATACTGGACCTCTCTCAGCTTATGCAGACATTCATTCCTCAGTTGCTTGGAACTGAGGAAGTGGAAGTGGAGAAAAAAGAGGTACCTGCTTGACATGGGCCTTTTGTCTAAAGAGCAGTATTTGCATAAGAGCTACAACATAAACTCATTTGATAAATCCATTTTTTTATCACCTAAGTGGTCTTATGTTTAAAGATCCAATACAACAGCATTTGCTGCAGTCTAAGTAAAATGTTCTTAAATTTAGATGCTCAATCTCAAAATCTTAACTAAGAAGGCAGCAATAGCATTTTGCCTAGATTTATCTAAGCACAAATACAGTATTCATATATGCATATTTACACATACTACATACACATACATTTTTACATTTGCATACACACATTTTGTGTATATATACATATGTATATGTATTAGATATTTTCCTATATCTACTTATCTAGCTATCTATCTAGCAAGCAAACTGAACATCCACAAAGACAGGTGCAGACTTGCTTTTAACACCTGTGAAGAACATTTAAAAGGTTACTGCATAAAAGGCTGCATAAATCCTAAAAAAATATTTTTAACCAGATAATTTTATTTTCCAGGATGTTGTTAAATGACAGACTCAGATTTACCCAATCTCAATTACCACATTAGCAACAGAGCTAATGAAGCCTGCTTTCTTTTGTATTTGTGTCTTGAACTTGGATTTGTTCATGTGTGAACAAGATATGAGGGGCAGTTGACGTTTCACTTGTATTTAGCATGCTTCTCCACACGGATTTAGTAGGGGTGAGTTCACACTGAAGCACTATACTTTTTGGTGGCGGTACGAAGCGTCTCCTCTTTACACCGGCTTCATACTTTCATTGACACTGTAAAAACTTTGTCTTTCAAATCAATTTGGTTGGAAGCTGGCCAAGAAGCTGTACAGTATGGAGGTGAAATGACAGTAAGACATTGTCATCCACTTGCTCACATGCATACAGCAATCATCAGTAGTTCAATTCCATACGATAAATACCTCGAGCATTTAAGAAAGAAAAACACATAGCTTCCAATTAGCTTTGAAAACCTGAGATTCCCTTTACTCCATAAAACTTCAGGATGTTAGAAGACTTCTTTTAGATGTGATACATGCATACCAGAAAGTATGTCATTTATTTTTGCAAATATACTCAATTTTGATCAATTTCATCATTCCCTAAACTAAACTAAAAGGGCTTGTTTGAAAACGATAATATCTGAAAAGTCAGAGTTGGTTTAATCAGAGAAAAAGAAAGGCCTGTGCACTAATGTCAAATGTCGAGCATAAAAGGTGGATGGGAATGAAGGGGAGGATACAGCAAATCAGGAACAGGAAAAGGAGGTAATATCTGAAACACAGGTGGGTGCTGCGGGGGCAGACAGCCCATGGTGATGTCCCCGAGCAACAGGCTGTGACATCACCGGGTGACGGATTGTGACAGCTCTGCCCTCACAGCTCACAGTGGGGTGCCGGCAGAGCCTGGCTCAGTCTGGCTCGTTCCTGGACCGTGCTGAGCAGCTCTGCGAGGCTTGCAGGTCGAGCAAGGTTTTGGCTGTGCTGTGCTGGGTCGTGCCTGGGGCTGCTCGCAGCATCTCAGTGCCTGACCCCGCAGTATCGCTTCTGTTCCCCCGGCCCTGCCTAGTGCAGGCAGCCGGGACCCTACTGAGCGCACCCGCAGCAGCGGAGGTGAGTGGTGCGGGGACACCTGGGTCCCTCAGGGCAGCCGTGGGGAGCCTGGCCCTGTGCCAGCGGGGAGCACGAGAAGGCCCAGTCGTGGCCTTGGGAGGGCTTTGTGCTGAGGACTCGCACACCCTGGCACAGCGAGTGACTGTGACCTCCCTTCTTTTGCAGGGCAGACAGCACCTCTGCGGCTGCGTTGAAGGAGAACAGCTCGTCATCCTTGGTTCTCCCAGCCCCTGCAGCGAGAAGACCATGGCTGCAGAAGAGGCATGGACGTGTCCTGTGTGCCGCGACGTGCGGCAGGACACGGCCTGTGTGATTCCCTGCAATCACACCTTCTGCCTTGGCTGCATCCAGCGGTGGGCGAGGCTGAGGGACAGCTGCCCGCTGTGCAGGACGGCCATGCAGACCATCCGGGTCTCTGTGCGGGGAGACAATCAGTTCGTGGATTGCATCGTCTCCCCGCCCGCAGTGCCGGTGCCCGCCGGCTTCGGCGCCACCACTGCCCCTGACCCTGACAGCGAGGAGGACCTTCTTCCACCCCTTCCACCGCTGTCCCCTGAGCCTGAGCCTATGGCCGAGGAGCCAGAGTGGGTTGGCGGCCTCCTGCTGGATGACTGGGCAGCACTTTTCTATGACAGACGAGACATCGTCAACCCAGTGATGCCCTGGCTGGAGCAGGAATTGCGGCGCAACGGGGAGCTCCGCTGGTGGAAGATCAACTGGATAAAGAGCATAATCCAGGCACTCCTCTGCCAGGTGGGGCCAAACAGAGACATCCTGGTGCGGTGCATACAGGGCATCATGGGACCCAGCTCCGCACCGCTCATCGATGGCCTCATCGCAACCATCGAGAGCCGGTGCGGCCCGGGGGTCCGGAGGCTGCTGGGCCTCCAAGATCCCAGCGCTGCCCAGGAGCAGCAGGGCGGCCCCGCGGCCCCGTCCGGTCCCGCCGCCTCCCCGCAAGACGCCGTCGCTCCCCGCGCCGTGCCCTCCGGCAGCTCCTCCGGTCCCGACGCAGAGGAGCGCCCCGGCACGTCCAGCGGGGCCCTCGGCACAGGTCCTGGCGAGGAGCCGGCTCCCGAGGCACCCGGTCCCTCCGAGCAGCGCCGCAGCCGCGGCCCCTCCGCTCGCGGCCGGGGCAGGAAGCGCTCGGCTGGGGGGCCCCGGCGCCCCACCAAGAGGAGGGCCGGCAGCGCCCAGCGCGCTCCGCCGCCCTGCAAGAGACGGCGCCCCCGGCGCCCCTAGCGGGGCTTACGCATTTGCAATAAAAGATTAGAACGCAGAAGCACGCCTTGTCCCCAGTGTCCGTGTTTCGTATCCGCTCGCCCTTCCCACACGCGCTACACAGCGCTGCTTTGACGGGGCGGAGCGTCCTCGCGCCTCATTCGCCCAATTCAGCGCCTCTTCGTGCTGCGCGCGTGCGCCGTATGGCGGCAGACGGCCCGCCTCGCGCAGAGCAGCGGTACGGCGCATGCGCGAAAGCGGCTCTCGCGCACTCCTCGGGCTGTCTTTGGCGGTGCCGGTGCCGTTGTGGCGGTGCTCAGCGCAGCGTTGGGAGTTCTAGCCGTGCCTGCCTGACCGGAAGCCTCTGGTTGGGTGGCGCTGCTACTCGTCAGGCACCTCATCTTGCCTTTTCCGTCTGTGTGTCCGTCAAGAGCCGGACGCGAAGCGCGGGGCCGTTTGTGCCGCTTGCCTGTCGTCTCGTTCGCACCTTCGCTCAGGCTTTTCTCTGGGCAGCCCGGCGGGGCCTGGCGCCGGCGGGCCGTTGCGTGACCTCGGCCGTCTGCAGCCGGCGCGGGGCCTGGCGGGGCGCTGGGCCGCCGCGGCGGAGCGGAGCGGTGCCGGGCTGGGCGGAGCGGGGCCGGGAGTCGGATTTATGCGCTGCGAGAGGGTTCGGGACGGGCGGCTGGAGCGGCGGGCGGCGCCGGCTGGAGCAGCATGGTGAGCTTGGCGGTGGGTCGCGGCGCAGGGGGCAGGGCGGGACTTTGTGTGAGCTGGGAATTACCTGCAAACTTCTGCCGAACGCTTCGGTTGGTTTTAACGCTCCTTCTTTTTCGGTGTCCCGGGGTTCGACGGGGCTGTGTGTGTGTGGGGCGGCATGCTGGAATCCTAGGTTTATGGAAGAATCGGGCTGCTTTTTGTAACTGAGTGCGGGCGTTGCACGTGGGATAATACACGGGAAATTAGCTTCGATGGATAGCAGCAAGAGAGCAAAGCCTGGTTGGCGTAGTTAGTGTAGTGATACAGGCAGCATGGGTGTCTGTAGATTGAATTGTAGAGGTGTGAGTGCATCGCTGCTATATAAAGTTGGGGTGGGCCCTGTGTTTGGCCTTAACTACAGTATGAAATACCTGAGTTATCTGAGTGGGGTGGGTCTCCTTTCAAGATACCTATTCCACATATGGTTGGGCACCACAGTGATGTATGATTCTTGGTATAAATATATATTCTGTATGTTCCATTAGTACTTATGGCTATAAAAGTCAGTACATCAATTTAGCTATGGACAGCATTTGTCCAAGTGCCACAGAACTTGCTTGGCATCTTATCTCCACTTTGAAGTTGTGCTTTGGGTGAAATCAGATACTAAAGTCTTGTAACACTGGAATATTTAACAAGCTGATTCTAATTATCTGTTCTTTTATTATGCACATCTTGGAACGTGAAAGGAACTGTGCTGTTTTCTTCCCCACTGTGCCTCTTCTTCCTTCTCTTTTTCATTTGTTTCCCCCTACTTTTCCTTTAAGGGTAGAAAATTGACTCTAAAATTCCTGTAATATTCCTCCTATTTGTAGGATACTGTTGTCCCACTACTCCACTTTGAGCTATTTTGGGAAGTTGTAAACAATTACTTGGTTTTCTTTTCAATGTGACCCTTAATTGAATACCATTAGAATCATAGAATTGTTCAGGTTGGAAAAGACCTCAAAGATCATCATGTCCAACCACAACCAAACCAAACTACTATAATTCTAACAACACTAAATCATGTCCCTGAGCACCACATCCAGATGGTTTTTAAGCACATCCAAGGATGGTGACTCTCCCTGGAGAGCCTATTACAGTGCTTACCAAACCTTTCTGTAAAAAGGGTTCTCTTGATATCCAACTTAGACCTCCCCTGGCACAACTTGATGCTGTTTCCCCTCATCCTGTCACCAGTGAGAAGAGACCAACCCCACTTTGGCTGCGCTCACCTTTCAGGTATTTGAAGAGAGCAGTAAGATTTTCCCTCAGCTTCCTCTTCCCCAGACAAAACAGCCCAGTTCCTTTGGTTTCTCCTTGCAAGGCATGTTCTTTGAGCCCTTTTTCCCTTCTTTGGGCCTCCTCCAGCACCTCAGCGACCTTTACTGGGGTGCCCAAAACTGAACACAGTACTTGGCCTCACCAGTGCTGAGTACAGGGGCAGGATGACTTCCTTAGTCCTGCTCACCCCATCATTCCTGACACGAGCCAGGATGCCAGTGGTGTTTTGGCCTCCTGATCACATTGCTGACTCATACTTAGCCAACTGCCCATCAGTCCACCAAGGTCCCTTTCCATCAGGCAGCTTTCCAGCTACAAGCTGGATTTAACTCCACTGACCACAACTCTTTGGGCCTGCCATCCAGGCGGTGTTTCACCCAGCAGAGCGTATGCCCATCCAAACCGTGGGCAGCCAGCTTCTCCACAAGAATGTTGTGGGGGACAGTGTCAAAGGCTTTACTGAAGTTCAGGTAGTTCACATCAACAGCCTTACCTTCATCCACTAAGCAGGTCACCTTGTCATAGAATGAAATCTGATTGGTTAGACAGGATCTGCCATTCATAAACCCATGTTGACTTGGCCTGATCCCCTGGTTGACCTTTAGTAGATCCGTGATGGCTCTTTAAATTATCTACTTCATAATCTTCCCTGGCAATGATGTGAGACTGATAGGTTTGTAGCTACCAGGATCATCTTTCTGGCCCTTCTTGAAGTTGGGCGTCATTTGCCAGTCTCCAATTTGCTGGGAAATTCCAGTTAGCCAGGACTGTCAAGGATCATGGAGAGTGGCTTGGCAGCCACATCCACCAGCTCCCTCAGCACTCTACACTGCAATCCATTAAATGCATCCTATAAGCTTGAGAAATCATTTCCACTTGAGCAAGTAATAGTTGCTGGCTATATCTACAAATGTTATGGAATCACAAGAAAGATGCAAGTCACTTGAAAATATAGTCCTTGGTAGTCTATCTGTAGGCTGTGTGAAAGCTGCATTCTCCAGTTCTGACTCAGTGGCAGAATGAAATGTACAACGGTTTCATTTTTATCAGTAGGCTCACAAACAGTTGTCGCAACAACTGACTGGCTGTACAACTCTTAGCTGTGGCTATCAGGGCTGATATTTCTACCTGTAATGCTCATTATGTTCACAATTCTGTGCAAGCATTTTAATTCTGCCATAGCGTTTAGGCTGTACTGCAGAGACATTAGATGTTTTCCACTTGTTCTTGGAATGATTCTTGCAATGGCAAAGCCTTCTATAAAATTAGTTAACGGTTGTGAGGGTGAGAGCTTCCACAGTTTATGTGTCAATTAGGTGAATATAGTTATGGTAGATTTTAAAAATCTTTTAACATAATCTTCTGCCTTCTTTTCCTTCATTGTAGATCAATCCTCTGAACTGGTTTTGCCTGTAATTTAATACTACATTGAATATGTACTGATTTTCTGCCCAAGGCACGTTCTCTATTGATTACTTCAGTAGTAATGATAATTCTGTGACTTCAAAAGTGGTTTGGTTCCAGTCATGAGACTTCTACAACAGTAGTTTGATTTTCCTAATGATCCTTAATTCTGTAATTGTGGTGTTTAGGGAGTACTCTTTCCTGTTTCATGGAGGATAAATGATGTTGGCTGACAAGACTGTAGTTTGATTTTTAAACAATGCTCCTTGATTCAAAGGGAGTCATACAGCTTCTGACTCCTATCCACCAGTTTATGACCCTCCTTTGAACACGAGGAAAGCACTGGCCAAGGCAGAAGTGGTGCATGGAGGTGAGCAGTTGCTGGTTCTGAATTCCTTCTGTATTCTCTGTGCCACCTGATGCATCATTTGTTCTGTAAAACAAACATGTTTTTACAAGAATTGTTGCTTCAGAAATAAGTAGCTGGCATTGTAGTTCTGAACATGAAGCTGTGTTCTCCTGTCTGTTCTCTCAAGCATGTCGTTGTTTGGTTGGTGTACTATGCCAAGTAATCCTAGTGTATGCAACTGCTGGCTTCAAATCATGGCCTTCATCCTGCAACTGGGGGGGAGAAAGGGGTGAGAGTATGGGGGTAGTGGTGGCTGTTATAAATATTGTTACAGAGTAAGTAGTTTTGAAACCCTGAATAAACTTAGGTTTTGAATATTAGTACTGCGTATCTGTGTGATATGGCAAGGGAAAAAACTTGATGTGATACAGTCAGAGCGGGAGAATAACCTTGGGCAAGGTCAAAATGTGGGGTCTGAAGAGTTATCTTTGATAAAACAATTAACCTTGATTATTCTTGCTTTGCATGTTCTGTAAATATAAAAATATACTCTAGGAAGAAGTACTTTTAACAATGTTCATATTTTCTGTTAATATTATGAGGTAGCTATGTTTGTGTTGTAAGTGCACGTTCATTTGTAGATAAGAGTATGGAAGCTTTATCATACTTATTCTTACTTTTTGTTTTCTTTTTTATCAGTAGCACTGTCTGTAACTACGTAGTGCTAGAGGTATAGACTGTGAAGGCCGAAATCTAGGTTGTGCTTTGTTCAAACTTACCGTACTGCCTTTTGGGCCTGTCATTTTTCTAGATTTTAAGAGTGCGTCTGTCTTATTCTTTAATGTAGCTGCAAACACTTCCATTGTAGTCTGCTTAGGAATTCTTTATTATGTTTTATTCAAAGCTTTCTTATAAAATATGTTCTCTATAGCACAAACAGAAATAATGATGCCATAAGTACTTCAAGGTCCTGGAATTGAGCGATCGAGATATTGAAAGACCTCTGACCAAAGATCTTCCTCTGAAATGAAAACACAAGTCTGCAACTTATTAGGCATTATAGTCACTGTCTGGTTGTTCTGTCTTGCTTGAGACATTGACCATGGGGTTACTAGCCAGCCCCTGTTTTGAAGAGAAAGTGATTTATAGTCTTCTTACCTTGAGGCTGAGGGATTTTCAGCTGTTTACAGGTTGAAAGAAGTGTCTGATCTGTAAGGTACTGACTTCTGTCTCTAGTGTTTGTTTAGTCTGTCGCTTGCCCAGCACAGAAGCAGCTTCCCTGTCTTCAGACAGAACATCCTGCATTCCAATTTGTGCTCATTGTTTCTTGCAAAAGATTGTGTCTTGTAAAAGAGCTTCGTCCTTTAATGTCTTCTCCTTTAAACAAGCTATATTCTATTAAGTTGGGATAGATTTTTAAATTCTAAACCATGTCTGCTAATTAAGAGTATGTCAAGTAAAGCAGAAGATATTGGTTGGAACCAGTACCTAATCTGCCTTTGTATTCATTCTTGAAATGAGTATCAAAACTAATACTAGTGGTAATGGGAGGACTTAAAAGTGTGTGGGAGCTTTGATTTAGATATAACCTGAATTGGAACAATCCCTCAGTTTTGTGGTTTTCTGTGGGGAAAAGCAATTCTGTGATTAAAGATAGGTTGCGATGATATATATTTTTTCCAGAGTGTATTAATATACATATAAATAAGTTGTGCGTAGGTACATACAGGTAAGTGACAGCAAAATGTGTTTTCCACATAGTATGTTATTAGAGGAAATATCACAATCTGTGCTATTACTAGCTCCTTGCAAAAATTTATTGCAGTAATCCCTGGTCTTGCTGAAGGGAAGCTTCAGAAATCAGTTCTTTTGAGGTGTATCAAAGAATTGATGGTGGCTATTTAAGGAAGCAGTTGAAATTTCAAGAAGGGGGAAGTGTTTGTGCAAGACCACTGGAGAGACTTTGATCACAGAATGGTTTTGGTTGGAAGGGACCTTAAAGTCCACCCAGTTCCAATCCCCTGCTGTGGGCAAAGATGCTCTCTCCCAGCTCAGGCTGCCTATGGCCCCGTCCAACCTGAGCACATCCAGGGGTGGGTTACCCACAGCTTCTCTAGGCAGCTGTGCCAGGTCCTCACTGCCCTTTGAAGAAAAAAGAAAATCCCTTAATATTGAGTGTAAATCTCTCCTTTTTTAGTTTAAAATCAACCCCCCTTATCCTTGTGCTATCAGATAGAGTAAAAATTTGTTCTTCCTTCTATTTGTAAGCTCCAGGCCAGAACAGCTGAAGAAAACCCAAACATGTTATTTCATGTAAAAATGTAACAAAATGTAACAAGTACTTAATTGATAATTGATAAATGTAACAAGTATCTCAATTGATAATTGAAACCTCATTATGAAAAGTCTGGTAACATTCATTTCCAATGATTACAAATGGAAGGTAGTTTATGCTATCTTGATATTTTTAAATCATGTTTCATTAAGGATGGTATTGGGCATCATCCATTGTGTTTGATTGGACTGTAATTTTTTGTGAAAGCAGAATTGATGGCACAATTTCTGATATATTTGAACAACAGAAAAAAGTTGAAAGAGAGAAAAGATAATACAATACATAAGTTACACTGATTATTGTGCACCTTCCCTTCACCATCTATGCCATTCGTGCAGTAAGGAGCAAATGCTCTGTATTAACTGGAGGTTTAAATTTCAAGAGATGGATGTTGTAAATGGTGAACTCTGGTGGATTTGGAGGGTGTCAGGTGTTAAATCATGTAGAAGAGAAAGAGACCACGAACAGCACGACTGTGATGAGTGATTTAATTGTGCAGAGGAGTATCTTGTGGAGTGCCATATCAACATGTGGTATCCCAACTTATTGAGCTAAGGCACTCTATTGGAAGCTGGCAGGGTGCTGATGCTGCTGGCCTTGTGATGCTTTTTTCTTTTGGTAAAGGATGTGGTGGGTTATTGCAGGTTCCAGGGGATTTCCTGAACACTGATATTGCATGAGTTTTTTACCTTCTAGATTAAAAAATAAAAAAATATATTATCCCTGTTACGTGAAGGTGTTTTTAAAATACAGGAACAAAAACCAAAAAGTTACTTCAGCAGATTTTAAAAGCACGTGCTGACTTGTTAACTTATTCCTCTACAGGGTGTGATAGGTGTACAGTTGGTGGTTACCATGGTAATGGCTAGTGTCATACAGAAGATCATACCTCACTATTCTCTTGCTCGTTGGCTTCTCTGTAGCGGCAGGTAAGATACGAAACTGTTGATACATGGGGTGTGAATGTGGTAAAGCAACTACGCATTGCAGTAGAAACATTACTAGTTTGGTTTGTCTTGAAAAGTAATTGATCTACTTGCTGTTCTTGAACGTTACTCAGCATAGTGACGCCTGACTTGCAGGTTCAAAGTATTTAGGTGTAAAAGAATAGACTTGTTGCTGTTAATTGTGTTAATGCTAGCTGTTTTCCAGCTCTTACCTTACCAAAGGTACAAGCTGTGTAATTTAATATTGAAAAGCTAAAGTAAATTCTGTTGAGAATCAAAGGACTTCTTTCTCAGTATTTATTACAATTGTACTGATTAGCCTTGCATAAACAGAGTGCTTAGGTGTTTATTAAAAATTGTGTTTTTGAGAACTTCATAGGACAGGATTACTATAAATTTCAATATAGACTTCATAATGATAGCTTAAACAGGTATAAAATGTTGCAAGAGAAGCATTCCCTGTGTGACAGTATCCATTATAAATAAAAATGGCAGGTTTTGAAGATGATTAAGTATCTTAAATATTAAAAGAAACAGATGCTTCGTTTTTTCTACTGGGAAGAAAAAAACTTTGAATGATTAGGAGATATTATGATGTCTTTTAGAATTGTTAAACTTTGGAGAACACTACAGCTCTGCTCCTTGATTTCTAAAGGAGTTTCCTTAAATGATAGTGTATTCCAAAATAGTCTTACCTAATCTTATATAGTTTTCCACTGCTTTTTTTCTCCTCAATATCTTGGCATGCCTTTTTTTTTTTTTTTTTTCATCGTTTTTCCCTTTTCAATTTCCAAATGATTGCCAACAAAAAATGTCACTAATGTGACACTTAAAACACAAATAAATGTGTGTTAAATATCACAATAACAGTGGTGAGGTGGAATGGAAAACAGAAATCAGTGTGCAGATGATGCAAATGGGAATCATGCTCTTAGCTGTTTTGAGAAGTTTCATTGTTGACCACACTTGCAGGGTATTGACAACCTCTTTTTTTTTTTTCTCTAAAAAGAATATTATACTGTAAGTGAGCTCTAGAAAATTTTCAATGAGTATGAAACTTTGTATCTTCCTTGTTTATAGTATTCCTCTCAGAGTGTTGTATCGGTTATATTTCAAATGATATAGTCTACTTTCTATATTGCATTTAAAACATTTGTCTCAATGTCCATTTCAGAACTTTTCTTTTTTTTTTTTTTTTTTAAGGATTGCTCAATATTATGCCTGTGTCCTTCATTCTAATGCCATTTTCAGTCTCTGTATTCACATTCTTAGGCAAATGTTGTGCCAGTGAAAGATTTGCTGTTCAAATACGTTTTTGGCCACCCTTTCTTGTTTTTAATCTTTGTACGCATACAGATAAGTACGTAAAGCAAAATTTCTGCACTAGTGCTTTGGAATTATGCTCCCACTGAGGTCAGTGGGTGTCTCATTGCCTTTCATGTTAGTAACCTTGAAAATCTCATTGTTGCTTTTCAGCATACTATTCATAAGGTAACTATTCTAGTGTGTTGTAATTTCAGTCATTATGAATAACATTCTGAATGCTATAGTTTTGTAAAGAGCTGTGAATACTTCTGTGTTTCAGAAATAAAATCGTCAGGAGCTTTACTGAAACAAGAATCTGAATTTTAATGTCAGAAAGAAAACTTTTTTTTTGTAGTTTATCTGATGAGCATATATAAACCTATTTTCCTAAGCATTGTCCATTTGCAAAGTGTTTTCTTAGATGGACTTCCATAAGCAGGGTAGTGGAGTGTGAAGTTCACACAGTGAAGTCCAGCTTTCCAAAGAAAAGTTACTAGATCTCTGTCCTTTCCTGTCAATATATTATTTTCAACTAGATGGTAATCACCAAAGCCGATTTAAGTTATTTGGCCTGAATGTTTTTCTTTGGAAGTGTTGGGAGACTTTTCTAAAGAAGTAATCTGAAATATCTTTAGGAGGTAGTCCTTGCTAAAGAGGAGAGAAGGTAAACATTTTATGAGGAAAATGCAGAACCTTCAAGTGGCCAGCTGGTTTCAAGATGTCGATATGTGTCCATTAAAATGGAATATAAACATCTCAGAATTTAAAATAGTTGTTAGAATAGACAGACAGAAGTTGTTTTTTCATTTGTAGGGTGGATGGTTATCTTTAACTGCTGAAACACAATTTACTTACATTTGAAAGGGAATACAAACCTTTTCAGAACTTGATCAGAGTATGAACATTTGTTATTTTTTTGAAGACAGTGAATTGGCAGCTGAAGTATCTACCCAGGCCTTTCCATTTTTTGTTAGTAAGTCTGCTCTACCAAAATGTTGCTTTTCTCAGCCTCTTTCATCCAATTTCCAAGCCACTTCAGGAGAAAAGTGATGCTCTGTTCTACAGTCATTAAAGGCAATCATTCAAACTAACTGGGGCATGTTTGTACAGGTCTTCAGAGTAAACTCTATCAAAGCTACAGAGTAATCAGTTGTCTCAGTTTTAAACTCACTAAAGAAAATGCAAACGTTTTTTTTCCCAACCTCTAACTTAATGAAAATGTGTTCACTTTTTTTTGTTTTTGTTTTTGAGATTTTTAAATTGAAGACCTGTAAGCTTTATTAAATTAAAAAAAACAACAATACCCTTTTGTATGCTATTACTTCTGTTGCTTGTAATTTTGAATTACTTGCAATGCTTTTTGTAGTGTAATGAAGGCCAAGTTGTGGTTTAAGTATTCTTGTTTTGTGTTAGCATACTAAATTTTCTAACTTGAGTAATAATAATAGTTATGGATACCATTGCTCTCTCTTCATTATTATGTTGTATTAAACTATATCATAAATAAGTGCCCTTCTCAAAAAAGAAGTATTTTCTCAAGAAAAATACTCGTACATTAAGACTGATAAATTTTCCCAGTATGTTTCTGTGCATAGTTGGACTTTGCCTTAACATTTTAGCAGAAGAATCAGAGTGACAGCCATCCAAAATCTGAAGGACACCTCACCTTTGCTGTACACAAGATTGTGCTTGAGCTACTAAGGTTGTTGCTTAGAAGTTTGAATAAAGTTACTGAGAATGAGCAATCTTTTTTTTCCTCCACTTTAGAATTTCCTTGCCACCACTTGCCTTTTAAATAAATGAATAAATAGATAGTGCATTTATGTGTGAAAGTGGAAAACTGTACACTTTACATGTAAATTAGTGAATTTTGTTTTTTTGAATAACTCTTGTGTGAAATCCATAACAGAGATAGTAGAATATGCAAATATTTTTGTAGACAGCAGGTACATATTTTAACGTTTACCTATCTGTGCTTTTGTAAGCTGCTGTCCTTTTCCTAGTAAGTGTGGAAGGTATCACAAGGGTGATGTTGCTTAGGGCAGAAATACAGATATTACAATTTTGACTGTTTAAGAAAAAAGTTGGGTAATAGTTGTCTGCTTTGAGAAGTGAAGGATTTGTTGTGAAGGGGTAGCATGTGTTTCTAATGGTATCTGGTAAGTAACTTGTACTGAAGAGAAGTGAGGGTCAGTTGTTGTTTTTCAGTCCAAGCAGGGTATTTTTGTAGATGTTGCAAATGACTGCTATTTTAGTGTATATATAGATCTGTGTTTATACATAGTTATGTTTTGTTTGTTGTTGTGTTTTTTTTTTTTTTTTTTAATCATTCTACATTGCTAGTGCTGATGAGGTTTTATTTGCGATTTTCTTTTCCTTTAGTTTACGATGGTATCAACATCCTACTGAAGAAGAACTACGGATTCTTGCGGGGAAACAAAGAGGGAAAAGCAAGAAAGATAGGTAAGTATTTGTTTTAAGCTTCTTTCTCCTATTTTTTTTTTTTTTTTTTTTTTTGTATGATGTGTATGACAGCTTTGGCCAGTTTCTGTCTTCTGTGATTATAAAACTGCTTGTTGCATATGACTGCAATACATGTATCGTCACAGCTCTGTACTGAACTGTGTTCTTTTGTTTTACTAGAGAATTTCCAAATTGTGCAGCGGTGAATGATTCCCAATTCTTAAATGTTGTTTGTGAAATTGCTAATTAGGTTACAGAGGTTCTTTTAAGCAATATACCCGTGTCATGGAGTCTGAGGAAAGCAAATCTTCTGTAGGGTTGAAGGTCCTCATATTTAGGCAGGATTTGAATGTACTTGATATGGGATTGTTGTTCTGGATCATAACTCGTTTACACAGCTGTGATAAAAGTAAATGTGCTCCTAGAATTTATTGAGTTACTTCCAGTGGAAGTATTAGTCCCCTTGCACGAAGCACTGGTGTAGAATTTTGTTGTGATTATTGTGAAAAGTTCTGGTCATTCATGTTCAAGAAGAATAAATTCAGACTTGAATAGGTGAACAGAAGGGCTACTAGCATCAGGCAGGAAACAGCATGTCTTACAAGAGCCATCTGGAACAGCTTGACTTGTTTAACCTAGCAGAAAGAAAATGGGGAATGATGAGATAGATGTTCATCAGCTTCAGCTGGAAACAAGATTCTCACATACAATCATGAAGGTCTCCAACAGACTTTCCAGAAGTAGAACTGCCCAAGAGCCAAGAGTGATGATGAGGAGCTTGTTGTGGTAATTGAAAGATAAATAAATTTTAAAAATCAGAATTGGCTGGGCTTAAAATAAACAGCAAAATGCACTCTTTCTTGTTGATTTCCTTTAGTCCTTTTCCTTTAACTCTGATATGAAATACTGATATACAATTCCTAACACCTGTTTTAATCCATGTATAGTCTATTCTTTATGCTTTTTTTTTTTTTTTTCTGGAGTTTTTAAGTTACTCAGGAAACTTATTTGTTGTGTTTTGGATAAAGACTTCAGTTGTTCCCTCAACGTAAGTATCTTTCATTTTCTTTCATATGTCACATTCTTTCATATTGTGACGTTTGTCACAATACTCTTAAATTCAGACATTAGTTATCTAACAACGTACTTGTTTTCCTTCAACTTGTTAAAAGATCTGTGAATAGCATTACATTTTATGCGTTCATCTAATCGGTAATATATGTAAAATAATTAGTATGACAGAACTAAATGTTTAAGTCCATAAATAGGAGCCTTATACAAAATAATTTTACTTTGCTAATGTCGTTTCTTAGTGTTGCCAATCTTCTGCTTTCCAAAGCACCTTCACTTTCACTTTCACATATGATCAATTGCATACTCATTACTGAGTAGCAACATGGCATATTAATTTGTTCTGATATCTAAGCTTTGACTTTTCAAACTTTGGAAAATGTACTGTGAAAAGTAGCAGGAAACTGTATCTGAAGGCACATAAACACAGATCACTTTTCAACTATTAAAATGCTACATTTAATGCTTCAAATATGATGCAGTGTTTCGTGTCTGTGCAAATTTTGTTGGTGTCACTCAATTATCAGATTGATATAATACATTAATATATAACCAAGAAAATAGTTATAAAAGGCAGTTATTTGTAGTGAGGTGTTATTGGCAAGTCTTCATTCAGATGTAGACACACTTTTGAGAGTTGCTTTAGATTTTTGTCCTCATTTTTCAATTTGTCCATTAAAATTCTTGTGCTTTGAGTGATAGTAAGAACTAGTATCACATGAAAAAATAATGCTTACTGACTCTTTCTGGTTGTATTCTCAGCTTACATGTGAATTAAGAGGACTTTACTCTTTAAAACCATGTTCATAGTTGAATAAACTTCTTTTTAATGCTCATGTACCAGTAACTCTTCTTTCTTTGGAAAATCCACCTTTCCTTCACTGATTTCAGAGGTGCTGTTTTGAAATCTGGCAAAGTACGCTGTTCTATTGTAGTCCTCTAGGGGGTTATGAGCTTGTAGCATGGCTTATTTTCACAGAATCACAGAATTGTAGGGGCTGGAAGGGACCTCCGCATATCGAGTCCAGCCCCCCTTCAAAGCAGAAACCCTACAGGACACTGCACAGGTTGGCACCAACGTGGGCTTAAATGTCTTCCGAGAAGGAGAGTCCACAACCTCTGTGGGCAGCCTGTTCCAGTGTTCTGTCACTCTCACTGTGAAGGTCCTTCGCATATTGGTGCAGAACTTTCTATGCTCCAGTTTACGGTCACTTCCTTTTGTCCCCACAGACCTCTGAAAAGAGGTTGGCTGTATCTCTTTGACTCCCATGCTTATGGTATTTATAAATATTAATCAGATCCCCTCTGAGTCTTCTTTTCTCCAAGTTCACTCAGCCTTTCCTCATAAGGGAGATGCTCCAGGACCTTTATCATCTTTATGGCCCTCCACTGCACTCTCTGTAGGAAATCCTTGTCATTTTTCTACAGGGGAGCCCAGAACTACATACAGCCTCCAGGTGAGGCTGACCAGAGCAGAGTACAAGGAGGAGGATCACCTCCCCTGACCTGGTGGCCATACTCCTTTTAATGCACCCCAGGAAAAGATTTTGAAGTTAATGGTGTTGATATAGTTTCCAAGCTCCAGGAGAGAAAAAAAAAAAAAAAAAAAGTGCTCTTGTTGCTCTGAGTAGCCCTTCTGGTCTTTATCTCTTTGGAAACATGCAACACATTGTTCAAAACTGTTATTTGTAACCAGAAATTTGAGAAGCATAAAAAAGCTTCAAATTATATATTACATTTTTGTTTATACTGTATTTGGAAGATAACTCAGTGGGACTAGAAAGGGGGAATGATGATAGCTAAAAGTAAGGCTTCCATGCAAAGAAACAGGTATGTATGGAGTGGGCACAGTGTGTGGGTATAAAATAGTAAAGTATGTTGTACAAGAAGATGCTGAATGAAGTTAAGTAGGGTAGTTATCAGGGTTTTTTTTAATGTGGGACAAACACTGTGAAATTAGCTGTGCAGGTCAACAAATTTCAGAGTGTTTCAGAAAGGGATTGAATAAATTAATGTCGAAAAGAAAAAAAGATATTTCAGAAGATGTAATACCTGGCTTAGATTATCCCCAGATTGCTTAATTCTAGAAGCCAAGAAAGATTTAGCAATGTGACAATCAGCCTTTCTCTTAGTCTTTCCCTTCATATAAGAAACTTTCCACCTGTGCACACATGATAGGAGCAAGTTAATCTCTCTGCAGCTCTTCTTAAAGCCTCTGTGTATCTGTTGTGTTCTGCAGGAATGGCTAAAATCAGGAGCCTGCCCTGTCTCAACATCAGAGTATGCATAGTTTTGTCTATTTCCTCCCAAAGAGCATGATGTATTTATTTCTTTTCAAGGCCTACTATATCTCTAGGATTGCTATTAATACAGTGATAATTGTTTGTACTTTTTTTACTTTTTTTTTATTTTTATTTTTAACTTTTTTATTTTTTTTATTTTTACTTTATTACTTTTTACTATACAAGCAGGATATGAATTGAAATAGGTCAAAGCCATTTTTGCAGCCATCCTTTTAAATTAGAAAACTGCCTTACAGTTCTGTTATTGATGGCTGATAGGGTACATCTCTCAAGGATCTAGGTTAATCTAGCTTAGGCAACAAACTTAAAAGCCTAATGCTATTTTGGGAAATCTGTTTTTTTTTGGGGGGGAGGGGGGAATGGGTTTGGAACCTTGCCTAGACTTCATTTGGAAAGCATCACTTCAGCTTCAATTTTCTTCAGGGTATTTGTTCGGCAGGACAGATGTATTCTTCTCTATAGTGGTACTCATACCTGTTGATGCTGAGGTTACTTATTATATCATTACAGATTCCTGTCTGTCTAACAGTGGGATGGTGCAAACAGTACCCACCAGCTCCTGTCTTAATGCATGACTTTGATACAGCATGGAAGCTACTTAGACCAATGTGCATAACCACCACAGTGTATTAGAACATTACAAGATAAACCCAGTAGTTATTGGCATGCAGTGTTTGCAGTTAAGGGAATAGCAGTCTGAATTCTTAAATTTGAAATGGTGTTATACATACAAAGAAAAAGTTGATTTTTGTGGAATCTATGTTTATTTTATTAATCTACATATGTATTTTCTGTTACAGAAAATATAATGGTCACATTGAAAACAAGCCTTTAACCATTCCAAAAGATATTGATCTTCATCTGGAAACGAAGTCTGTGACTGAAAGGGACACTATTGGTAAGAATAAGGGTGCTCACAGTGATGTAGTATATTAAATACATCGTGGTATTTAATATAAAGTATTTATTTGCAGTAAATGCTGGAAGGTATTTTTGGAGTGCAACCGATAAAAAGAGTGTTAAATGAGATTACAAAAATTGTTGCATTCAGGCACCCAAAGCAGTATCAGACAACACAGAAAGGATCCCATCATGGTCTATTTGAAACAGTCTTTGTATGAGAAAATGGTAACTGACTGATCTTGAAACATATGCTTTCTGCTGGCCTAAAATATGAAATGTACTATTGCATTGAAACCTAGACCTACACAAACAAAACTGACTTAAAATGCTTAGCTGCCAAAAATGGCAGTGCAGAAACAAGCAATGTTAAATGTTTGGAAAGTTGCTTATTTTTTAAAATAATAATTTTTGATTCCTTAACAATAACCAACTTTCTTTACGTATGTAACCTTAAGACTTTCCTATGCACGTAAGCTATATATTTTTCCTTGTTTACATTCTCATATGCAGGTGTTGTATACAGCACCTAAGTGTCTTCCTGAGTGTTTATAGATATGAATGCAGTTGAACACTTAACTGGTTTTAAAGAACTAAGCATACAAGCATGTTAAATCTAATAAAAGTAATTATTTCAAAATAAGTATAGGACTTGGAAATACCTGAATTTAACCAATATGTTGTGTTTGTCATCAGCTATCTCTTAGTCAGCAGACAAACGCTGCATAGCATTTGTGGTTGTTTTTTTTTTTTTTTTTTTTTTAAAATCTCATGATCTAGGTAATGTGTTTGAGAGGGACAGGCTGGGCTTTATTATCATGAGTTGTTCTTCACATTTCTCAGGAGCTCCCTCTTTGTAAATAACCCAGTCTGCCAGTATGATCCCCAGAATTTTTAGGTGGAATCAATAGTTTATTACCGTGCAGAAGACGTTAATAATGTTGAGCAAACTCTGAATGGCTTAGATTTTTTTTTTAGGAGAATATATAAATATATATTATTTATATAAAGTGATAGCCAGTAACCTTTTAATCTTGAACCCTTAGAACTGTAACTAAAGGAAAGAGCCATTTTCTATCATGATATTGATATCTAAACTGGTTATAATCTTTGAGTTAATTAGATCAATGTGTAAAAGCTGAGATGCTAAATAAAATCTTGTAACCTAATCAAATTGCTTAGTACCAACCCAGAATATTCACTGAGGTGAAGAGAGAAATACAAATTAAAAGGAGAGGCTATCAAATAGAAAAAAAGCGTGCCTTTTTTGTTGTCGATGATCTTAACTTCCATAATCTTGTTACGTCTAGATCAGTTGAAAATAATTTTTGATTGTTATTGTGTTCTGCATGTGATATGTATATATCATAGCTGTAATGTTTGCAAACTTGTATTTTTCAGCATTACATTACTTTCCTGAATATCAGTGGTTGGTGGATTTCACTGTTGCAGCTACAGTTGTGTATGTGGTGACTGAAGTGTATTACAGCATTGTGAAGCCCTCACAAGAAATGAATATCAGTGTAGTGTGGTGTCTACTTGTCTTGGCTTTTGCAGTGTATCCTTTTCTGTTTTCTTATATCATTCTACCAATTCCATCATGCTGCAGTTCATAGAAAGCTCTCTATTGTTGTTTTAGATAATATATAAAATTTACCATTTGGAAAAAGAATTGTAGCTAGCATCATTTTCAGGTAACGTATATGCTGTAGCATGCTTCTTTATGCTGATATAAATAGCATATAAACATTTATACCAAACCATTTATAGAAAAAATACAGCTCTCTGAATATAGAATTAATGTAACGTGTAGCTGTTGTGAGCTAATGTTTGACTGTCAGGGTGGGCAAATGTTGCTGTCCATGCAGATTGTAATTTTTGAAGAAGCATGCAGTTTACTGCCTGGCTTTTCTGTTATGTTTAACCTCATACTTTCTGAACTAAGTAATACAATAATGTAAATCATCATTTGTTGCAAAGTTGCATGCATGAATTCATAACTTCAGAATTCAAAAGATTATTATTTCTCTTAGATTCAGTGCAAAATAAAATGTATAGACAGTTATAGGAGCTAAAATGGTACTGTGTTTTCAGTGGTCTGTGAAAAGCAACATTTTCTTCTGGAAATAAAAGAAACAGTATTTTAGGAAACAAGCAATACTGAACCATAAGAAGAAGTAGCTGTCCTGTTTGTATTTGGTAGAAAAGACAGTGCATGGTTTCGCTATAATTAATAATTAATTTCCACATACCAGTCATAGAATTTGCAGAGGAAAGTTGGGTTTTAAAGATAGGAGAGGTAATGAAGCAAAATAATCAGATAAGGTTCTCAAGGAGCATAGATTATGGAGAGAGGAGCTGGAAAATAAAGCTGTGCAACTCCTTTGGTACCGCACAACTGACAAACAGATCAAATGCTTAGTTAGATATAACACACATATATTCAAAATTTGTTCCTCTGTGCCTTTACAGTAAGGACGAATTCCTTTTCTGACTAGCCTGAAGTGCAAGTGAAATGCATAATTTTCCTGGTCATGAGTACCAACTTAAGTGACAGAGCTGATGAAGTTAAGGAAAGAAATAGCTGGCAGAAAATCAGCTCTTGTGCACCTTTTAGTGATGTTATAGCTATATAACTAGGCACCCTTTTTTGTATATTATTATTTGGTTAGGCAAAGTCAGGAATCTTGGCAGAGAGAATAAGACGTTATTAAGAAATAATTGATGAAAACAAACTCTTTTGACTCCCATAATGAGAAGGAGAATGAGATTAATGAATTTATGGGGAAAAAAGCTTCATACATTGTTCATCTTATTGGTCATAGTGCCCTTTTTGTTTCCTTTTTTAGACCTCGGGCATAACCAGCTTAAATAATTTTACTGTGGTTGTGAATTATACATTGGCATAGATTTCATAGGAAAGACAACTGCGGTGTTCCATTCTTAGAGTGGTGTTTTAAGGCAGTCCTAATTACTACTTTCATTTAGTTAATTCAGAGCAAAACCAATTGTAGAAATTTAAAAATGTTAAGTTACATGGCAGCGCAAGTTTTCTGTCTTAGTAGTATGAACATACAAGTAATTATCAAGGTCTTCTTCTGATTGCTTCTTTCTCACCACCTGTTTTTATATAAATTGAGCCTAAACCACCATTTTTCACTTTGTCTTATTCAGTTCAAGCATTTGAGGTTTCACTGCATATTGGGACCTGAAGGAGGTTGTAACAGAGTGAATGTTCCTTGCATGTCAGAAGTACATCAGTTGTATTTTCTTAACAACCTTTCGACATGGCAGAAAGAGAAGAATGATAGAGGGGAAACTTGTGTATGTTAGAATTGATAAGAGAAAGAGCAATTAATTTGTGGTTTCTCAAAACACTGGCATGAAGCACATTTCACACCCTAAACATCTTGAAATATGTTATTAAATCCCATAATTATATGTCAGATTTCAAGTGTAAGTTCTGCTATGGAGATGGACAGTTGATTCTTATCCATTGTTGGAAGCTATATAATCAGTGAATATTAAGATGTTATAATTACAAAAAACAAGAGAGTTAGGCAAAGCAGATCATGATAACAAAAAGAGGATAGAAAGCTTACCCCTATCCTGGGCTCACTTACAAAACTCCAGAAGAGATCCTTCCCCCCTGGTAGCCAGCTCTTAAATAGGTCTAGAAGAGGTGCAGCCAGGCTCCACCCCTTCCAGCAGCACAGGAGAATTGCCTTCAGCTGTGCTCCTCTGGCTGACTTATTGCTCACCTCAGGTGATCAATCAGAGTTCAGGCCGTGACTCAGCAGTTCCCATACAGAAGCAAATAACTTTTCTGTGTGAAAGAACCTTTTGTACTAGATGAAAATTAAGTTTGGTGCACATATTGACATGATGTGTAAAAGTACTTTGACTTTTTAAATTGTAAGATCAGATAGGATATTATTAAAAGCAAGCAATCATCAACCAGAAGCTAAATTTTATTTAGTAACTTACTAGTTAACTTCATGTTTTAATATTTTTGCATTTGCGTGGGTATGTATTAGCTAAAGAACCAATATTCTTCTGAGTTTTTTGTAATAATATACTTTGGAGATAATTGTTAAGGATTTCTAATAGTTTGTAGGAGTTAGAAAAAGTGAAAGAGAAGTTAAAATTTAAGATGCATGAGACTTCTTAAAACAAGCAAATCTGGAAAAGCCAGGGGAAGAATGGCATTGTATGTAGGACCAAACCTTCAGAAACAAATCCCAGGAAACAAGAAACTTGTATGCAAGAGTGTCCTTTTGTTTTGAATGCGTTGTCAAACAGCGAGGCCTAAATTCTAAGGGTTTTAATTTGTTCAGAAAAAAATTCTGTCTTTTGGATAGTTTTAGAGGTAGGGAATCCTACGCAATGGAATGTGTAATTTGTAACCTGGTAATAGGTCATTCATTAGTTGTATGAGGGAAATGTTCTAGTTAGGACTATTCGTGTTCCACTTCGTACAACTTGTATTGCTGGAATTTTGGTTTTTTGTTTGCTTGTTTGTTATTTTTCACATAATAGTAAACAGACTTTACTTTTAAGGGAGGCTTCTCTGCAGAGCAGATGATTTTGTAGAAATCCTGGTGAAATCACTGCTCTGTAATATTGAACAGAGCTTGACTTTATTTGACTGTATGGTTCCTGCGCTGATGGAATGAAGCGTTGTGACCATTGCCCAGTCTGAGAGCTTAGGTGGGTTGATACAGAAGTCTGCAGTACTGAGCAGCACATTCTAGACTTGTTATATTAGAGCTGACACTTACATAAACATATTAATGTGACTTATTCCTAGCTTACAGCTGGGTTGAAGGGCTTTTATGCAATGAGTGATAATACTGTGCTATTGGGGAAACAATCTTTGTGATTTCAGGAGAAAACTCCTGTGTTCTTGTGTTATGATATCAGGCCTCAGTGCTGCTGAAACTCTTCTAAAATCTACCAAACTGTTTAGTCATTCAGTATGTCAGGGCCAGAAATTATTCATCGTGACTTAAGTATTGGAAAAATGTGGTTGACTGATTTCAATTGAGAACATGGGTTCAAAAGGATGTCAGTAATTATGTGGGCTGCTTCTGTTATGTTGGTCCACAGTGTCAAAGGCAGATGTTGGTGGTATGACGGTTGAGGTTGAACATTGGTACCAGCATCCCTTTACATATTACTGTGTGACAAAGGGCAGCAGAGGGGCAGTCTGACAAATGATTTGTGACATGAAATTGCCTATGAAGCAATAGTGTGTCAGTGAATTACTTCCTGTGGAACAAATGGCGACCACTGAGATTAACTGATGTCTGTTTATGGAGACCAAAAAGTGGATGTGGGGGGTGGATGGTATGTTTTAGCAGTGGTGACAGCCACAGTCATCACTTTCACTGGTGCAGATTGTTCTGAGCATAGCATGCAGGGTGTTTCATTGCAGGTGAAGATACATAACTAATGGTAGTGACTTTGTTGATAAATAGTGTTTTGTAGTTGAGAATATGCTCTATCAAATACTGCAGTTGTGCTCTAATCATTAGAATTGGAAGAGACTTTTAAAGGTCATCTAGTCCAACTCCCCTGCAATTAATGGGGACATCTACGACTATAACAAGTTGCTCAGATTGCAGACCTTAAATGTCTTCAGGGGTAGGGCATCCACCACCTCTCTGGTAATTCCAGCCAGATATTCTTATATATTATTATTAAAATAAGATAACCCATGGTAGAGAGTATTGCTACAATTGACAGTAAGTAAGCCTAAATTAAAATGATATTGCAGAGAAGTGTGTTCCTAGCTACATAATTTTTTTTTTAATCACTGCTTTACACTGTCCTTTATCCTGGAATTGGCTCAGCGTAGAACATCCTTAGTGAAGATGATCAAAATACAGCTTTGTAATTTTTAAATATTGTTATTTTTCCAATTTAATTTTCCTTGACCTTTTTCCTGTGTAGTAAGGTACTATTTTCATTGACCACTCATTACTTCAAAGTAGAGGAAGGAGGTGAAAGATCAGTCTGTGTCACATTTGGCTTTTTCTTCTTTGTGAAAGCAATGGCAATTTTGATTGTGACAGAAAACTATCTAGAGTTTGGACTGGAATCAGGTAACTCCCTTCTTTAGTATTTGCAACAGTCTTACTTATTGCATGACCAGAAAGATTTATTTCAGGTCTTTTAGAAATTTTTGAGAATATATCTGTTAATTTTAACTCTGTTATGTGATACACTTTTTCTGGAGGATATTCTGTCTATTTTTCCTGCTTTGTTTTAAGATGTGTAAAATGGCTTGGTTTTTTTTTTTTTTGTTCACTTTTGCCTTCCAGTTTTTAATTTTTAATTTTTTAATTTAATTTAATTTTTAATCTGTTTTGCCTTGCATTGCACAGTGAGCTGCCTTCACTGGAAAAAAAAAAAAGAAAAAAGAAAAAAGAATAGGTACTTGGTCTGTAAGCATCAGTGTTAATTCCATTGGTGTTCATGAAATGTTCAAGTATCAAATAGGTATTTTCAAAGACAGTTAATATCCGAGTTTTATTGTACTGTGGTGTAATCAGTGCATGAAAGAATTATCCTAACATATGAACACTTTTCAAAAGATGTATTATTATGTGGGGGGGAAAGAAGGGATGGGAAGTATTGTTTTTACTGTGATAAAATACATATAATCTATGTGTCTCCGCAGGATTCTCAAATTTCTCAGAAAGTGCAATGCAGTTCCTTGAAAAGCAGGGTTTGGAATCCCAGTAAGTCCTGGAAATACAGTGTTTTACATTGTGTTTGCATTTATAACTCAACCACTTGGATTTTCTTAGCAAGCATTTGTCTAGCATATTGTGCTGTTGTACGTGCTTATAGTTGCTAAAAAAAATGTGAAGAGGTGTATTAGTGAGAATAATCCATCAATATTTCAAAGTATCTTTGTTTTCTCTTTAATTTAGATATAGATTCCAACCTGGTAGTTTGGCTGTAGCATTTTAAAAAATAAATTCAGAAGTACAATTTTCATGACAGTTCTTAAGCAATCTCTGCAGTACTGAAGGAGCTATTTAACACACAAAAAAATCTTTTTGCTGTTTCTATGGTGTGTAAGCAGATGAACTTGCAAAAAAGCTTCAGACACTTCAGATGGAGCTTGCGAGGAAGTCGGCTTTAGGAGGAAATTCTGACTTTTATTCACATCTTCAAGTTCTGTAGTATTTTCCTCCTTCACAAATACATCTGCTTGCTACAGGATATCTCAAGTTTTGTACGGGCTATGAAAGGAGTGTGCCATTTTTGTTATTTTACTTGTGTACACAACCACTGTCATGGATAGGCTTTGTGTATTGTAAAATGGACTTTCAGTACAACTCTGTCCTTACACATTTGCTGACATGTGTTATGGGGTATATCCTTACTGTGAGGGATAAACTTTTGATTTCTAAGTTGGGAGTTCTCAAGTACTGTGCCAGAACTATGGAATTTCTTTATTTCTGTGGAACAGATCTTTCTAATATGCCTACGTAGAAAATATATCAATTTTAGGTAGGAATATCAGAGAAACATTTAACTGAATCCCATGTATTTCTTAACCTTTCTTTACTCCATTTTACCTAAGCTATTACGACTTTACTAACTTCTTTGTTAATTTTTCTGTTAACGTTCCTTTATTTTTAAACTTTTGCAGTGCTTTGGCTGTTCATAGGAATGACTGAGTTGACAATGGTGTCTTTTGATATTTTGAGGTTGTGGACTAACAAGTTTGAAGCTTATGTGGATAACTAGAATTGTTTTTGTTTTTCTTTAATCTGTTACGTTCTTTGATTTTTTTGTATGTATGTATGTATGTTTGTAATTCAGTTTATTAATTCCATAATTCATTTAATCCTTAGTACTTTTTTCAGTAATTGTGATGTAATGCATAGTTAATTTAAAAAAAAAAACAATACTGGCTACTTGGAAGAGACATAAGTAATTGGGTACATGTATGTGTTTGATAAATCTGTGGGGAAAAAAGTAATAAGTTTGACAAAGCTCCTTAATGGGTAAAAGGAGAATGCAGCTAACATATAATTTAAAAAACATTGATTTTGACTATGAAAATTTAAAATTGTGATTTATCTGTTCTCTTAAAAAAAATAACCACTGGTTAGCTTGTTAACTAGTTAATTAGTTGTTAATTTTAATATAAAGTTACTCTTTTTTTGTTTTATTGTACTAACAAATTTAACATCTTTTACGAGGTTTTTTTTGCACTAGGAAGTATTTTTAATAGGAAGGTTTTCTGTTCATTTTATTAAATAAACAGGTGACTTATTTTTTGTTTTGGTGCCTGCTTGAGTTATAATGATGCTGGTATTCCCGAGTAAAACTGTACAATTCTTTTTGCTTTTTGATTAAATATTAGATACTGTTGAACGTAATCACTGATACCCTGCCCATTCACTTCCTCCTCAAGAAAATGCTTATTTCCTCTCTTTTCTTTTAGGGGTCCTGTGTCTAAACTAACCTTCAAATTGTTCCTGGCTGTTTTGTGTTCACTTATTGGTGCTTTTTTGACATTCCCTGGCTTGCGACTGGCTCAAATGCATCTGGATGCTCTGAATTTAGCAACAGAAAAAATAACACAGTAAGAAAAAATATATACACATAGGTATATGCTACTCAATCTTAAGTCTTTGATGTCTGGAAATAAAATGAACTATTCCAAAACGAAGGTAGTGACTAAGACTTCTGCTGCTGCCTGCATTTTGTATCTCAAGCAGACTTGCCACCTGCCTCTTTTCTGGTCAACCTGTGCTCTGACGGTCTTTCATTCTTTGCCTTGTGTTTAGAGTCCCAGTTACAGGAATATTTCTTTCCTTTCCTCCTATTAGAGCACCACAAGGAATGTTTCTACATAATGCTTTCTTTCCTCAGTCATGTTTCTTGGGAAGTTAAGTGGAAGAAGACATACAGCCACAGACTTTTTATTTTCCTCAGTAGCCCAATAGATGAGCCACAGACTTTTTATTTTCCTCAGTAGCCCAATAGATGAGCATCATGCTGTTGTTAATAAACGTAGGGGAAGATCCAGAGGCAAACACAGACAACAACAGCAACAGCAACAAAAACCCACAAAAAATACAAATAGACAAAAAAAAAAAAAAAAAAAAAAGGAAGAAATAGCCTTAGAAGGGCAACTAACTGGAAAAATGTTTAAAGTGAATCTAAAACTCAATGAAAACTTCTGTTAATAGATATAGAAATTAGCATATAATACTTCATTTTACAATATTTTGTGCTTCTTACATTATGACTCAGAATATTTTAAAAAGTCAGATGCTAATATGACTTTAAAGGAGCATTTTATTTTGCAGCTGCTCTTGAGCAGTAAATGTTTTCTTAGATTTAACTTTTTTTTTCAGCTTTCTCTTGTTGACTGAGGAGCACCAGATGCCTTTTGTAGGTCTTGACCATTGATACTTAATACACAGATGTTACAGCATAGGCCATTGTGATGATTTAGTCTGTCCACTTTACTAAGAGAAACATTATGTCACCAGCAAGTCGAGGGAGGTGTCCCTCTAATCTGCTCTTGTGAGACCCCATCTAGAGTACTTTGTCCAGTTCTGGGGCCCCCAATACAAGGAGGACACGGAGCTGTTGGAGTGGGTCCAGAGGAGGACCATGAAGATGATCAGAGGGCTGGAGTATCTCCTCTCCACAAGGACAGGCTGAGGGACTTGGGGCTCTTCAGCCTGAAGAGGTGAAGACTCCAAGGAGACCTTATAGTGGCCTTCCAGTACCTGAAGGGGGTTTATAAGAAAGCTGGGGAGGGACTTTTTATTAGGACATGTACTGACTGGAAGAGGGGAAATGGTTTTAAACTGGGAGAGGCTAGATTTAGACTAGATATCAGGAAGGAATTCTTTACTGTGAGGATCATGAGACACTAGAACAGGTTGTCTAGCAGGGCTGTGGATGTCCTTCCCTAGAAGCATGCAAGGCCGGGCTGGAAGGGGCTGTGAGCAACCTGATCTAGAGGGAGACGTCTCTGCCTGTAGCAAGGGGGTTGGAACTACACATGATCTTCAAGGTCTCTTCCAACTCAAACCATTCTATGATTATGTTTTTGGATATAATAAATATTTCGGCATAAACTGAAATCTGTTTAAGTGCTCAACTTAAAAAATTAGCTGTGTTTAAATTGAGTCCTTCACTCTTCGTAAATATTTAACTAAGTACTTTGCATTAGATTTGAGCTCTTTGTAGATGAAAGCATGCAGTTAGAGCTGCAGGGTCTTGGCTCCTGCTTTATCTGCTGTTAAATTTCTGTCTGTACATAGGCTGTGACCAACTCTCAGTCTGTTCTTATCAGGCAAATAAAGTGCTCATTTTTTCATTTTTATGTACTTAAATATTTTAAAATTTCTTGTGCCTTTTCTACTACTATGTTGTAATTTTCCAGCATATTCCCTGATCTGTGAATGTGAGATTGTCTGCAGGAATATAAAATCTCTGAAACAGAACTTGATTGATAAGATCTAAAAGGTTGATTGATGATTACTGGTATGAGGTTTTGAAAAATAAATCTTGTCTGTCTTGATGTTTACAGAATATTAAATCTGATTGTTGAAGGTAACATTATGTAGCACCAACCAATTTTTTAATGTCTACTAATATTTTGCTTATTCAAGCCAAAAAAATGTAAAACAAAGAAAAATCTTATACTGTTGGTCAGTCAGCACTGTAAATAAGTAATGGAGTTAAAAACAAAGAGTTATCATTGGAAGTTTCCAGTGGGCCCTAAAGAGATCAATGTTTGCTCTTTGTGATGTGTTTTAGTCAATGAGCAGATCATTGCTTAGTGTTTGCAGTTGTTTGGCAGTGACTGAAGGGAATAGGAAATGAGTATGAGTGTAACTGCTGTAATGCTCTTTAAATTGGAAGTGGGAAAACAATGCCTTTCTTTGCAGTCAAACGTGGGATTATACTTGGTAGAAGAAACCAGAGAGGAGAAGCCATATTTATAAAATGGGAGACATATAGAAAACGTTGACATCCCACATAAGTAGCTACCACTTGAATAGTGTGGTTGAAATAATTAACATTATTCTTCCACAGATGTATATACAGGGAATAAATTTTAGAGAAAAGTAGGAGAAAAATAATGTCACTTTTAATTTTGTTAGTTTGATTTTTGTGAGCAGTATCATTCTTTGTGTGTTTTTTAGAGTTGTCTTAATTTGTACTATTTTCATACAGTCATTTTCCAGAACTTGTTACAAGAATCCATCAACCTGTTTCCTTCTACTCAAATAAGCAGAAAGGGAGACTTGCCACCATTTGGTACATTGCAGTCCATTGACTTAGTAGGATGTCTTTAGCTGGAAGCTCAAGTAAAATGTTCTCACAAGTTACTAAGATAATCTGGACTGCTCTTTGGTGGTATTGTGCTCCTTAGTACTTGAAAACTTACACTGCTTATTTCTTCATATGAAACCAATGGTTTAAGTGATGCTGTAACTGCTTCTGAAACACTCCAACTTTTCAGTGAGTATAGAATGAGTTTAGCAAGCTTGATTGCTTGAAATCAGTACAGTATTTCAGAATAACTTTTGGTTACCTCATTTTTTTTTTTTAATAGTTTAGAGGAAATGTCTTTGGAGATGGCCATATACATGAGCCAATTCTGTTAGAGAAGAAACATTGCAATAGTGAAAAATACCAGATCACAGGATGAAGTTTCAACTGTTCTTATTTTATTTGAGAATTGTAAATCTGGGGTATGGACTTCAGATTGGTCCAAAGGAGGAATAAAAGAAATATGTTAATTTCAGAGAAAACTCCAGAATAATATTTCCTTTTTTTAAAATCTACTGTTTTATATGTTGAGTTCCTTTTAAATTAACAATGTAGACAGTGTAGTTTTATACTTTAAACTTTGCTTTTTAAACATTGTAATTTTTTTGTTAGTATCTTTAATTGAATGCAAATTTCCCCTGGTTTGTATAGATAATGGAAATTAATCTAAGTACCTTTTTCATAAAACAAAAAATCTTAAATTAATGACACGCTATCCATCTAAGATGCTAACTGCCTAGATTAAAACTGTAAAAGCTACTGCACTTTGGTGTTATGCTATAGTATGAAATTTTTAAACAACTGTCTTTTCTATAGTGTGATATGGTGCATGTAGTTAGTTGCTTTGATTAGATTGTTAAAGTGTTTAGAAAAAGAATTATTTCAAAGAGCGCTTTTAAAACCACAGTTTCACAGTATACAATATTTTGTTAAAATGTAAGTCATTATCTTAAAAATAGAGAAGTAATCTCATTATTTACCTTTGTCTCAACTATATTAAAACTTGGACTTATCTTTTTAAGTTTGTTGCCAATTTCAACAGTACGGTAATTGTTTGCATTTAACAACTTCCTTCCCCCTCCCTTTTTTTTTTTTTTTCAGAACACTGCTACATATAAACTTCTTGGCACCTTTATTTATGGTTCTTCTATGGGTAAAACCAATCACTAAGGACTACATTATGAACCCACCTTTGGGCAAAGAGAGCATACCTTTGTAAGATTCCCTTTAAAACCTTTCTGGGGTTATTCAGTGTAAAGCTATCAGTCTAAGCAGTGCCTTCTGAAAGTTTAGTGGTGTGAAAGACTAGAAATTGTGTATCGAGAGTCACGAAAGTATGCCCTTTAGAGCTCATCTGTCTCAGAGGGAGAATGAATCGCAGTGTTGAGTTGATGGTTCTAGAAAAGCCACTATGTGCTGGCATCTCTTTGGCAGACTAATGGGTTGTTTTTCCTGTTGAAAACCTTACAGCTTACATATTGGTTTAAGAAATGAGTGGTTGTGTTGAAGACGAATGAGATGCATAGATATGAGGACTGGTCAAAGGCTCTTAATATGATGAGAAGTGTTTCAAAATCATAGGTGTAGTGCCTAGCTTCGCTATTAATTTCGCTTCATTAATAGATAAAATACTTAAAAGCATAAAAATGGAAGATTTTCATGAGTGATGCTATATTATAAAATACTGTTTTCTACTGAATAGATGGTTGTTACTATTGCTTTTAGTCTAGGAAAATCAGAATAATAGTAATTGGGTAGGCTTATAACTGATATGTTTGGCTGTCAGTTTTATTGCTTAATACGTAGGTCACTCTGAAAGTAATGCCTCCTATTTATTTCCATGGGAACTACAACAAATAGAAAGATCACAGTAGCACTGTTTAATAGGGCAAATACTCAGCTACAAAACAGTGTTTTTCAGCATAGTTACCAGTTATACATTTTCATCAGTTATACATTTTCACCACTGATGAACAAGGGCTGGAATGCTGTGCTCAGTAAAAATCTGCATGACTGTCTGGAACATGGCTAGTCTTTCACACCTTTGTCACCACTGCTGGGGCATTCTGCTATCTCACTGTGCTACCTCCACTGTTTTGTCTCCATAAACGTGCAGCAAGTGTCAATTAATGTCAGTGGGTCAGTTTTATTCTGCATGGAGAAATTCAGTGACACACCGTTGCTTCATATGCATTTCTGTATCAGATGCTTTTTTTTTGTCAGACTGCCTTCTGCGGCTGTCTCATGGCAACAAAATATAGTGGTGTATTGGTGGGAAGGTTCAACCTCTACTTCCATGACACCAACATCTGCCTCTGACATTGTGCACCAACATAGTAAAATAGGAGGCAGTAATTTCAGAGCAGGCCTTGTAGATCTAAAAGATGCTTGAAAGACAACTTTGTAACCATCAGTCTATTACATAACATTTGGAAATACAGATTTTTTTGCTTCCATTTTACTTCTTACTTCTTAGTTTATCTTAAAATGATCATGCTGTAGTTTGTAATGTTCTGTGTACATTACTCAAATGTAGTCATTCAAGAGCTGTTATTGTTTGCATAAGTAAGTGAAATTTAATGCTGTATTGGGGCTGCTGAGAAGTAATAGTACAAAGAGAAATGGATGGAAACAAATACTGATTTGCACATTAACTTTGTAACTGTGAATTATTCATTAAGTATTTCTGACCACATGCCTGAAGATTTCTTTACAGGACATGCATTGCTTTTTATTTTTTAATCTACAGAATGTCAGAAGACACATTTGACACCATGAGATTGTGGATTATAATCCTGCTGTGTGCTTTACGATTGGCTATGATGCGCAGTCATTTGCAGGCCTATCTGAATTTAGCTCAGAAAAGTGTGGATCAAATGAAAAAGGAAGCTGGCAGAATAAGCACAGTGGATTTACAAAAAATGGTAAGTACAGTGGGACTAAGGTTGCATTTGGAATGCTTGCACTTTTTAATGTGCTTTTTTTCCAGTTTTTGTGTCTTCTGGGGCACCAGGACTGAAATCTGGGTGAAGCTTTCTTCTACAAAAATAGCACTAAGAAGTTCTCTAAACCAAAATATGCAGAGATGTGAACCATATTATGCAAATACTTTATCTTAAACTGTTCATGTGTTATTGGAAGACATCCCGCTGTGAAGTGTTTTTTAAAAATACCATGGCAGACAGTATGCTTCTCTTGTTTCTGTTGCATGGATATAATCTATGGAGTGCATAGGCTCTGTGGCGATTAACTGTTGTAGTGTGGGAGAAATAGGGAGAATTTGAGTTTAGAAAGAATTTAAGATATTTAAGATAGATTAGTTATATTTTGGGATAAGATGTATTTAGTTCTGTAAGACCACTCTTGTGATGCACCAGCCTCACAACAAAACTACCTATCTTGTTACCGTCAAAAATGTTAGGAAAGACTGTATTATTTCTTTCTAATGAAAAAGAACAAACTGGCAAGGTAGAAGTTTGTAAGCTTGCTGTAGAACAGTGTTGCATGTTACCTGCAAATTAAACTTAGATTTCTAGTGTTGCGTGATAGTGCTGTCTGATGATGTTGCTGATCTGGGGTGTATTCCATGAGGAATATTGAAATATGCCATGGGATGAGGACTCCTCTCTTAGAATTGTCACTGTCACTAATAATTCTGTCTTTGTTGCCGCCGGATATCTTACTGTTAGTAGAGGACTGTGTTGTAGTTATTTCACATGTTTAATGAATAGTGTTTGGCTCTGTAGTAAATGTTAGGAAATGCAGGTAGTGACGACTGGTTATGATGGATCTGTATGACAGAAGATGGTTGTGAATGCATCTTGGTTTTGTAGGCTTTCATCTTACCTGTGAAACAAAAATGTCTTCTATAAGTCTGTTTATCCACTACATACATGTCTTCTCTTTAAGAAACCCATGGCCACTAAATACATTTTGTTTTATTACCATATTAGCCTTTTCTTCTGAAGTCTTGCCCGTAAAATCTTTCCTGTCTGCCTTGAAGGTGACCATTACTTTCTTACTTGTTCTTTTTATCGTATTTCATCATTTATCTTACAGTATTTTCGATACTTCCTTTCTGAGTGTCTTACTGCATTTTTTTCTCATGCTAGGTTTTGATGCTTGCTCATCTCAAAGCCCTTTGACATGTTTTAGGGGTACTTCCAAAAATGTCATGTCTGTCTTCATCTTTTTTGCCACCCTGTATTCTGTATTTTCTAAAATCTGATTAGCTTTAATTCATGGCTTGCTTTCTATTGATTTTTATGACTTTTTCTCCTCTTTATCTGATATATTCTTTTAGGTCAAAAGCTTATATGAAATACGTAATGCAAAAATATTGAGAAATATGGAACAAATTACAGGGAGGAAAGAGTGATAAATTTGAGTAGGTTTCAAGAAGTAATAATGTATATAAGAAATAAAAACCTTTTAAATAGTTTGTTATTGATTATCTGCTAATGAAAAATCCTCTTGTCATTGTTTTTAAAACTGGTATTTTACATTGGGAAAGACATGTCTTCCTTTTTAACCAAATTTTTGTTTACTTTGGGTGAAACTTGGGATTTTAACTATCTTGTTTGTGTAGTGGAATTTATTTTGTAAATAACAAAAGTTTTGATTTACAGTCAAAACTAATTTTTTGTTAGTGTGGTGAAATAGGAATCTTTGAACAATGATATGCAATGTTCATAAGCAGAATTTTTTCAAATTTTGTAACTGAACAGATATTTTTATTTACTTTCTTTCACGGCTTCCGCTCAGAATTTTAAGTGCCTTGATGAGCTTATCAGCTAGGGTTTTTTTTTTTCATTTTTATTTTGAAGACGGTGGGTCATAACACTGAAACATGGTAGAAAACTTAAGATTGCATTTGTGCGTGTGCGTTGTTCTTAATGAATTGCATGTTCGTGTAGGTTTGCTCTGAACTCAAATGATTTTATTCTATCTTCCCAGGTGGCTCGAGTATTCTATTACCTTTGTGTAATTGCACTGCAGTATGTTGCACCATTGGTAATGCTTCTTCACACGACTCTGCTTTTGAAAACACTAGGTAGGCAAAATTTGATGGGCAAATCTGTTCTGTACAGGACTCTTATATTTTCAAGTTGCTGTAAAGAATTAGGATTTATAAGTAATGCAATACAGAAAAATGTTGTTTTCTGTCATTTAAAACGTACTGATCTGTAGTTTGTAAGTTATCATCTTCTCTTGCTGCTTTTGATGTCTATCAATGATATGCTAATTTGGTTGCTTTATTTCTGAGAAATTGCGTAGTACAACAAATGAAGCTTTTTATTTCTATTTAAATATTCATATTTTTCAAGTATTTTAAGTGAGCTGTATAAGGCATTGTTGATACAATCTTTTATCTATTATTTGATTTTTTTTTTTTCCCCCAGTTCTTCAATTTTCAGTGAGTTATTGAAAAGAAATTGAAATAGAAGATTCATTTCACTTACAGGAGACTTGATATCACTGTTTTTTTCACTTCCTTATGAGGGATGTCTTTTACAGCCTGCCATGCAATCATGGCATTCTTTTTGCAAAATGTCAGCTGAGAGAGAAAGGCTTCATTAGGCTGTGATTCATCTCATCCTGAAGCAGACATCTATATTTAGTGAGATTAATCATACCAGGTACTGACGAGTCCCATGGCAACCGTTTCACATGTAGATGTTAGTATGTCAAAAAGCAGGATGAATCCTACCCTGATGGGTTACTAGAGTGATCAGGGAGCCATAGGGAGCAAAACAGGTAGTTCTTAGTAAGTTTGAAATATTTGTGTATGTGTGTTAAAAAATATATAAAACAATACAGTGTATAGAATGAAGAAAATTTAATTTAATAAAATTTGTTAATTCTTTATTTCGACAGGTAATTATTCTTGGGGCATCTACCCGGAACTGAGTTCTAACACTCCAGTAGAAAACAGTTTGCTTCATAATTCAGCTTATTCTGAATCTGCACCTGCTGATGGAAAGATGAAAGTAACCGTAGTACAAATAACAATGGCTTTGGGAAGCCTAAAGAATATTTTCACTCCTCTCCTGTTTAGGGGACTCCTGTCGTTCCTTACCTGGTGGGTTGCTGCTTGCCTCTTTTCTACAAGCCTTTTTGGGCTTTTCTATCACCAGTACCTGACTGTAGCATGAACAGATCAACTGATAAGTATGAAGTCAAATTCCAGATACAAACCCAGGTACCCAAGAGGAGGTGAAGAAAAAAAGAAGAAAGATATTTATGAAGAGAAAACATATCATATTTTTAAAAATCTTCCTCTGTGTTCTCAGGGTGAATATTCTTCAAATGCTTAAAATCACAACTGGGTTTGTTAGTTTTGTTACCCAAATGGTAGGTAACTTATTCAATTCTAGTGGTAAGACTGATATTATTATGTGGCAGGCATTGGTGTGCATGTTTAAAAGTTACAACTTCAGAGTATCTTGGTTTCCATAAAGAGGAAGTTGCCTTCAACACTTAAAGAATCAGCAGTCAGTAACTGAACTGTGTGAGTAGGTTCTGGTCATGCTGATGGTGGCTACTTGTTGAGTATAATATTGAAACTGAGCCATACAATGGACAGAAAAAGGGGATTTTAAAAAGTTCTGTTGGGTATTTTTTGATCACTTTTCAGCATGAAAAATGAAATAATCCAACAGGACAAAAGCAATGCTGTATATTACAGTAAGGAAAGTTGTATAAAATTTCAATTTAACATAAGAAAAATGTATGGACCTGGCAGGTATTGCTGCCTAAATATTATGCAGGAATGCTTGCACAGTGAAAGGAGAGTTATAGAAAAATAAATAAATAAATTACTTCAGTCCATAAGTCATTTTGAAGTAATGGCCATTTGTATTGGTGCTAATTTTGATCCACAGATTCCATTCGGATCTTTTAAAATTTTTCTTTTTAGATAATAGATAAAATTCCATTGAATTCACAAAATAGTATAATTAGACTAGTGATTCCAATTAAACATTTCAAAACAATACAGTTTAATCCTGCTGACTGAGAGTGTATGTATCTGTGATGTACATATATATATATATATATATATTATATATGAAATATATAATATATATGGAGTTATAAAGTATGGAATCTTTATTTTAAATTACTGAATGTATATTGCAGGGCCATGGGAGAGGGATATATATGTATCTAGTAATTTCAAGAACCCATTTGAAATGAAAATTAAATTTTTTTGAAAGTTCAGTTGAAAGGGCTATTTGTTTTTGGTGCCTCTACAAAGGTACTTAGCTCTACTAAAGAACTTATGCTGTTCTGAAAGAAGAGATCTGCTTCATCTCTTAGTCTTGAAACTTCTGCTCTGTCAGATCATTTCCTTTAATCAGTCTAATTTGTGTTAACTTAGCCATGCAGTAACAACTGGTATCTCTTGGCTTCAGAAATAAATTTTCTGTGTAGTAAAACAGTTGTTGTAAGGAGGAACAAGCTTTAACTTCACAACTTTTGCTTAACTGGAGGGATAGAGCCTGCATATCAAGCCATTGTGAAACAATGATAGATGAAGTTTTGGATATTTTGTGTGATGGGATAACAGGATGATTCATATGCAGTAGCTTTTTTTTTTAAAAAAAAAAAAATAATAATAATTCACTGTGCAGAGTTCAGTGCTTCTTTGACTAATATTGGCTAATTTATGTTACTGTTCTATTTTTTTCTCTTTACTTTGTGTACCACTTTAGCATATAGTCAGCATTTCTAAATGAAAGAGTTTAACAAATATTAAATATGTTGCAAAATTACCATGTGGGAAAGCAAACTGCCAGTGAATGCAGAAAAATCAGAGTTTACACTGGTGATAAACTGTCTTGCTATGTCAAATACCTTTTAAGCATTTACTAACACTAGGCAAAGATCTGCGTACACCAGCTAATACCTACTGAATGTGTTTGGGATATCTTGAGAACACCTTGCATGACTTGACTGGTTTCATTGCAGTATAATATTTCAGTGCTACTGGTGCTCCAAGCTTTGTTTTTTTACACCAGCTTTCCATCACTAACAAGGACAAAGATTCATCTGTGTAGATTGGACTACAGTATTTTACTTCATAGATTCAGGTCTTGAAATATTCCTAGGATTTGTATTTCAGATGAATAGAATGAGAAATTATCACAGGTACAGTAATACTAGATCCAGTTTCTGTTAATTCAAGATATTTCATTAATATAAGAATAATGCAAGCATCTAAGTCATAGGTGGGTATCCACCTTTAATGTTTTAGTCATTAAACTAGTAAAACAATGAAGTACAAATTGATACTGATTGTAAACTTGACCCAAAAAGCTCACTGCATGAGATTGTTGCAGTTGAAGGATAGGAAAAAGATGACTTCAAAATAATGCTGTTTCCTTTAGCATGGTGTGTATTCTTGGAAGCTCATAGATAGAAGAAACTATGGTTACATAATACTGACTCCGGCAAAGGATTGTGTGTAGCTCAGCTTTGCAGAGCTTTTGTTGAGGAATCACACTGTTTTATGTTTCAGATATCATACAGTTCACAGTGAAATATGCACTGGTTGATGCTACCATTAAGATCAGTGCTTCTGGTTGTTATTGTTCTGTTGTTCCATGGAATGGGAAGGATGACCCTCTGATCAGCAGTTTGATCTGAGTAGGAGGCAGTTTTCTTTGGTTTTATTTAACCCGCACGTGAGGCTTACTGAAAACTGTAATATAGCAATAAACGTCTTTGAACTTTTAGATGATAGTGAAATGGGATGAAGTATATTGCTATAGTTGTGAGCAATGCATTTTATAACTACCTTATATGACATGCTCAGAAGTGACTTTTAAAATAAAATAGCAGCCTTGATAGTTCTGACCTCCATGTATATTATATAAAATAAGAAGTATCTGCTTACTTGTTCAGGAAGTTCCTCTAAAACAGCAGCTGGCAAATGCGTCCCCCCTTACACCACCATCCCCAGAGAGATTTATTGGCACTTTGTAGGGAAGAAGCAGCTTGCGAAAATGGAAAAGCAGGTAGAATAAGTCTGAATTGCTAGTAATTTTTATTCAGGATTCTTGCTTTTTCTTCACTGCCTACTTCATTTTTGAGAGAGTTCAGAAGGAAAGATGCCTTTGAAGTTCAGATCTACCTTTATCACTCTGGTAATGTGACTTACTGGCCTGATGCTTTTATTCTTTTTTCTGTTCACAACTTTTCCCTTACATTAGTTATGAAGAACTGACCTAGCTAGATTAGTTAACATTTGTATTTTGATTATTGTTTTGTGGGCTTGAATTTATTGGTCACTGCAGGACCAGTTCTTTAAATAATTTAAATAATTCCAAAGTCCAGCTGGAATTTGAACAGAATTACTAGTAGGTTAAAAACTCTTTTTCTATTGCAGTTGTCCCTTCAGACAGAAAGTTAAGATGGTATTTAATCCATGTCTTCCAACAACATTCAGGATAGTCCAAGTGTAGCATTTGGGCTAGAGAAGTTAAATGGGAAAAGGAAGTGGGACTTGAACAAGCCTGCTTTTCCACTTTGCAAGCAGTGTTCTCAGGCAGCACTTGACCTTTGTTGATCATTTGAGGCTCTAGGATTTTCCAGGTGTTGAAGGAACTGTGGCAGTTTTTTTCTCTTCTTGTTTTCTCTTGCATGAGAAGCAAACATGAGAAAAAGTATTAAATCAGTACAAGAGAAGATCCTTTATAGAGGGATGTGCTTTAGAAAACTCATTTCTATGGCAGTTGTTCTTCCACTTCCTCTACCCACAAATACTGGAAGGTAAGCAAATAGAAATGCGTATTTACCTTTGTAAGTCATTGTAAAGTCATACTCACTACAAAAGATGCCGTCAAGATACATCATCTATGCAAGTAGGTAGCATAACTTTAATGTGTAGATAGGTAGTTAGTGCAGAGTTTTCAACTAACGTCAAAGAAGCAATTAAAATTATTTTTATTATGCTGTACTGAAGTACAGCTGAATTCTAATAGAGGTCGTGGATTGAATAGAAAATTTAAAAGTATCTTACATGAAAACGTGTAAGGCTTTTTGAAGGCTCTACAAGGTAAAATGCCACGTGTGTTTTTATTCTCAAAGGATTGTTTTAGACATTGTCTTGTTGGTTTTTTGGTTTTTTTTTTTTTGTTGTTGTTGGTTTATTGTTGTTTTTTCCAAAGAGATTTTGACTAGTTTTGAAATGTTACAGTTTCGGTATATGACAATCTGTGCCACAAAAATTCACCCTACAGTTAATGTTGTCCCTAACAAGAGTTAAGTTCATAGTGCAAATGGGCAATCTTGAATGAAAACAAGGCCACACAAAATAGACTGTTCTCTTGGAGAAGTCTTTGCACTGTGGCCAAGTTCTAACGGAGGAAGTCAGTAGCAGGTCCCTTGGATCGTAAATCATATACTGGAGCTAAATGCTTACCATAATGAGTAAGTAAGACTGTTATTTTCAGCATCTGAATTCCAAGTCCAAAATTCCAGATGGTAAGTTAAGAGCAGTCTGGTAGTTGTTCTAAAGAGCATCTAGGCAACACATACCAAATGCCAGATCTAGTTAAGAACACTGATGCAGGGAAGGCAGTCTACTGCAGAGTGATTTCTGTGCAATTTTTTCTTCAGAAAGAGCTGCCATGATTTATGGTGCGGGTAGTGCAAGTCCTGAATTGATGGTATATCTAACCTTCGTTCTCAGTACTAGTCTGAAAGGTTTTCTGCTCTGTGGGAGAGAGATTATGAGGCCAAGATGTTATTCTGAGGCTGCTTTTACTGAAATCTGTATATGCTGCACTTAACTTTTTCAAGTGTCTCACTGTGGATTGCCAGGAGAGTAACGCTACGCTGGACACTTCATGCCAGTGTACATGTATTTTTATAACTTTAATTTTAGTGGCATTTTTAATGGAAATTATTTTTAATCCTGTTACCATCAATCATATTTTAATTTTTTAATTAATATCAGTGCCTGCAACTAGAAGTCAAATACTTCTACACTCAACATTTTTTAAAACTTGATTTCCAGACTGGAGTGCTAGCAAGTATGCAGTTTTATATTGATCTGTGTAATCCACCTGTAAATATCAAATTTTTTTCACTTGATGTCAAAACATCAAGCAATACTGAAGGAGAAGGTTCGGATTTGCAGTATTCAGCAGCATTGTACCCTTATGACTCTGCTATTAAAACAAGCAGACACAAAAGCACAGGAAAACAAAAAAGTAGATTTTAGAACTAGCTTTTTATAAACTCTGTGGTAGTTTTTATTTTAGTGATGTGCTAAGTATTTTTTAAAGCTTGGCTTAAGATATCATAAAGTTAACTTTTTCTCTCTTTTCCTCTTTTCACTGTATGTTCACAAAGAGAACTTTGCTTCCCTTATAGCCCTAATTTTCAAGAATGAATATTTGTCTTACTTTAGATTAAAAACCAGAAAAAAATAAATGCACACAAAAAAGATTATTTTGTAATTGCAGTTCATACCTATGTCAGGATGTGCCAACAAACAGTTTTTTGTTGTCTTCAGTCATTCTCCTGTCCCACTGTTATCTTTCCTATGTGTTGTTAGTACATATGGTTTCCTAGGAAAAAGTCTGTATAAGCAATGCTAGGGCACTTTGTGTAATGTTACAACTGTTCCATGTATGTGACTAAATGCTAATGTAAACATGCTACTAAATGATTTAAGCCTAAAAATTCCTACAAGATGGGCTTGTTACAAATCACGCAGGAAACACCCTCCAAGTTGTAAATACTTGACTTCAATGTCTCTGTTGTTGTGTTCGCGCATAAATTGTGTTGCTGTTCTGTCTTAAATATTTTGCTGTCTTTTTAAGAGAAAAGCACATAGTACTGTATGTTACTGAACAAATCAGAGAATAGAGGGACTCCCCATCCGCCATTTCACTATTTGCCAAATGGAAAAGACTCTTATATTTTTAATGTAAATTTTAGTTTCCTATTACTGCTAAATTACTTCTGAACTATGATTTTGTAGTTAAAGTTTTGCAAAATAGTTCGATTAGCATGCTTTGTAGCGAAGGTGTTATCAAACGGATGTTGCATTGTATAGACCTCTCCTGACCAGTGTTGCACATCGCCTGCTGTTTTAAAAACAAATTCTCATTTACTGTGTGCTTTTGGAGTTCGTCAGAATTAGAGACAGGAGAGTGTAACACAAATTAAAAGAGCTGAGATGTTGTGTTTGGGGGATTGCTGGCACTTTAATTCTTTTTTTTTTTTTTTTTTTTTTTTTTTTTTTTTTTTTTTTTTAAGTCAGTGGGGATAATATTTAGGTGCAAGTACTGCAAATAATAAACAATCTAAAGAAATATTGTATTCTTTTTGTGCACCGTAGACTAAAGTGCCTAACATGGGTGGTCTGTAGAAGACATGCATTAAACTTCTTGCATGTATCTTTGTGGTCATTTTGCTAAATAGCAGGTCAGTGTTTGGAAAGAAAATGCACAGACTGCTAGTCCTAAAAATGGGGATATGATAAAAACATTCTTTCCGTACAGCTTTTGGCATTTAGAATGTCTGTATATTTACAGGTCATTATACACTGGAGGCAAGTAAGATTTTGGAGAAATCTTTTCCATTTTTATTACCTTAGTGATATAATGTGACACCCCACTGCCATATGTACCTTCAGTTTTCATCCTTTTTTGTGATTCAAGGAAGGAACTGGCACAACTTGGAAACAGTTGACTTTAGCAAAGTTTTCTAGTGACACCCTTGATTCTGCTCATGCCCTGCTTCTGCAGCTAGCTTTGACCTGGATAAGTAGCTCTGCTTGAGATCAGAAAGACCACACTGAAATTCATCACACCTGTATGGATTTGGACTACAACAGAGGTGGATTGTAGTATAACTGTTTGGGACTGAGCGAAGAAGAGGCTCCAGTTATATTAGCCATTTTGTAGAATGCTTTTAGAGTAACTGAATAGTAAACTCATCTGTAGCTGTCTGCTACTTCCTTGCCTCTGAAAATGGTGAGCAGTGATAATCCCCTGGTCTGATGGGGGAGCTGAGAAGCTTGCCTTTGAGTAAATTATCTCCAAAAGTGAACTGCTTGTAAGCTGAAATGTTGTAATAGGTTTAAATCTACCAAAGGAAGCCTTCCTCGAAAGGAAGCCTTATAAAACCATTTTGAGCTTTTAGCTCTGAGAAGTGGCTTTAGTAACCTACGCTGTATGTAGTACACTGTTGGGAACACTTGCTCCAGTAAGTGCGCTAAGCGTTTCCTTACACTGTGTGTAAGAGATGGTTGCTTGTTATTTTACTGCAGAGCACTAAGAAGCTGGTTTTGTCTTGTTTGTAAGTGTTAGCATATACCAGGCAGCATTTTTTTAATGTAAGAATAGTAAAAATTGGTTTGTCATCTAAAAACCTAAAACCTTTAACATCAATAAATGCTGTGAGTTGAAGCAAGATTATGCTTTATTATTCCTCTAGTAATTCTGGTGAAATGCTATAATTTATATTTGTTTTTATAAAGCACATGTTACTGAAGTTAAATTTGTGTTTGTTAGGTACTAGTGGTAACACCACAGCAAATAAGAAAAACTGTGATATCTGCTGTGTATTGAGTGCCCCATCAACATGCCTTTGTAAAGCATTGATCCGTGTGAGACATTTAATGTCTACTGCAGTTATGCTAATACAGTATTTAGTATCCCTACATGTACTCTGCATGTCTTTGCATTTGTGCACTGTAGAAGGATAAACTGTTTTTCAGTACTTACTCTAGGTTTAAAAAAGCTGACATTATTTTATATAGTATTTCCCATATCCAAAATAGGGCAATTTCTGAAGCCAAAGATCAATAAATGTTTATTGTCTATCAGTGTGGGCTTTTTTCCTATTTTGTACATCCCACTTGTTTAAATGTATATCTCTAGACTTGCCAAGTGTAACCAAACTTACTGTTTCTGTACTAGCCTAAATTATCTTCTTTAGAAATATTTTCGTATATTGTTTCCCTCCTCATTGCTTGGGGTGCAGCAGAATAATTTTCCCCCATTCTTCCCCCACCAGCATAAATGCAGACTGTCTTAATCATTTGAGTAGCTATTTACCCATGAAGAATCACTTTTCAGATTTGCTTAAAACCACCATGGTCTCTTCTAATTGTGTCATCATGATAGCACCAAGAAGCAGTAGGTCTGACGTGGGTTTTTGAAAATATTTTTGGAATGTTGAACTTGGTTACACGTGAATTTTTGTTCCATTCATGCACACATTGCTACACACTAAATGAATGATTCCAAGCTGCTTAGATAGTTCTTCAGCAGCAAAACATCCTTGACAAAACAGTTTCCTTTGATCTACTAGCAAAGTTGTACAAAAAAGAAAACACACACACACACACAAAACACAAAAAACAAAGCAAAAAAAAAAGCTTCAATTATGATAGGAAGTGTTGCTACAGAGAAATGACCCGTGGTCCCAAGGACAGTTTTTCAGAACATTTTTCTGCAAACACCAAAATGCATTGTGCAGACTGGTCATGAAAACTTCTGAAAGCCATATTAACTGGAACTTTGAAAAGAGTAATTGGAAAAAAATTGAATTGGGTTGGATGCATTTGAAAATACACAAGTTATCTGGGCTATGAGATCACCTCCTGGAAAAGATCAACACGCTGCAAGATGAGTTAAAATCAAGGTTAGGAGAAGCATAATGAGTTGTGTGGTATTTTTGTGTATGTTTGGTTTGCTTTTTTTATACCAACTAAGAACAGCATTCTTAGCAATTGGTTTCCTCCATACAGCCTGAAGCATTAGTTTAGGTCCCTGAAGCTGCAGCAGGATAGATACCCGGTGTGTATACACTCTTAATCATTTTCATCATCTGTAATTCCAGTTCACATAATGCATTGGTTCTCATGTGCTGCTTGAAGTTATCAGTGAGCACCAATGCAGTGCAGATGATCCCCAAGGTTTACTCTAGGCTAGGAGTTTATGCCTTATGAAGTTTGTTGTGTTTAACCTTCAAAATGCCTTTGGCTGGAGCCCAAATGGGTAATTTAGGCTGTTAACTCCACAGCATCTTGCCTGTGTGCACCACACAGGTGAGATAAATGCTGTAGTATTGTGGGGCATAGGCAGCCAAGCAGCTGCCTGGAAGATTTATCCTTCCATAAATCCTGTCCATTTATCCTTCAAGAGGACAAAACCTGTGTGTACTCTGCTCTTCTAGCTCTTTGCCTGCAATGCAGCAGAAGGCTGCTGTAGGACTCTCTGCAGCAGATGTGAACCCATGCTTTTGTGAGTATAATGAAGCCCTGCTTCTAACCCAAAAAGGTCACATTGCCCTAAGCACAACTGATCCAAAAGGACTTCAGTGAGGAAGGCAAGCAGAGCTGTCCTCTGCTGTGAAATGCAAACAACGCATTGTCTGCTGCTCACTGTAACAGCTGAAGAACCACCTAGCTCCTTAAAACTTTTAGCAGTATTCTGTGGAAACATACTCCAGACAGAAGTACAAGCATCTAGTTCCTGTCTGGTGCTACCTGCTTTGGGCAAGACTAGGGAAGCAGTGAGGATGCTTCTGCTCTGAATCAGATTATGAAGAATTTGCAAAGAAGTTAAATTACTGTCAGACTGTTGTCTGACCAACAGCAACTGGAACTCAGCAGAGGTAGGGAGATGGCTTTTGTGGAGGAATGTTCTGTGCAAGCAAAGGACGATGCTTGAAGACAAAATGGTATTTGTATGGTGTTACCACCCTTCCTAGGGGATGAAAAAGGACATTTCCTCTCCCAAATCTCATATATGGGCTATTTTATGTTAGTCGGAAGTAATTCATCATCCCAGCTCTGGAAATGGGTGAGCTCTGCAATATTTCATGCTGCTTGTAAGTGCTCGAAGACGTCTGTGGAACGCTTTGCTGAGGATCAGCATTTTGCTTTCCCCATGGTGTGGCTTTAACGCGTCTGGGGGCAAGGCTGCTTTGTTCATGGCATATGGTGCCACAGGTCAATTTTGTTGCTCTTGAAAGCTGACAGGAAAACAAAACATCCTTCTTTCTGAAATATGAATCTCATAGTCCTGTGACCTGGTCAGATAAGTAACTCATGCCTAGCATTTCTTTCCACCTGTCAGACTTGAGCACGCTTTTTTATTGAGTGCAGAACTAGTGTGATTTATGTTTTGGTGGATGTATAACATCAATAGCCTTCAATTTATCAGAAATTAAAAGCAAACAGGCTGTTGTTTGGAGACAGATGTAGCTGCTCTTTAGTGAGCATAGCTGCCCTGTTGCTTCCCATTCATTTGGGTTATGTTGGTAGAAGGAGTTAACTGCAAGTTTTGGTCCTGAAATCCATTTCTTCCCCATCTAAGCCCATACCATTGTACCCTCACCATCTTCCTGCTATCAACTCAGTCAGAAGGATGCAACAAAAAATGAGCGTTTTGATTTGCCTGTAAAAATGCTGCTGAGGACTTCAGGGCAAGAAAAATCTTCAGTGGGAAAGGTGAGAATTCTGCAGCGTCAGGTGAAGTCAGAGGCTAAAATACTCGAAGGCAAAATAAAAGCTGGATGGGGAGGGCTCTTTCATCTTAGGGCAAGACAGGACACGATCCAGAAATTGGAACCTGATGTTAAGCAAATTAGAGCAGTGAAAAATGTAGTTCTAATTACATCACAACCTGAAAGGGTCAGTTCACTGGGTTTTCTTCAGACATTCTCTCTATAAGCTGCTTGAGGTAAGCAAGTAATTGCTCTTCATGCAAGGAATATGAGTGGAAAGTAACAGAACTAGAGGACAAATGACTTAGTTTTCTGCTAAAACTGGGATTTGGGGATTTCTGCATTGGCACTACTATAGCTGGATGCCATGTGGCTGAGATGGGGGTATGCATTTCTTTACCACTACTGAAATCTGGTATACATCTTGCTATGTACATATTAACATGCTGTCTTTCTACTAGGATAATGAATGTCATTGAATAGAAAACTTTCTTGGGGATTCTTTTTTTAAAAGGTGCTGAATCTTCCTGGATGCCAAGAGCAGAGCAGAACATTGCTCTTACAGCACTGGAAGATTTCACTTGAACTTTTTGTTTCTAGATTCCACATTTATTGTACAAGCTTTTCAGCAGAAGAATACTTCTCAATATCAGATGTCATTTGGTATAGGATAGTTCTGCGATGCTTTTCTCCTGAGCTGTTGCAAGACAAATATTTCCTGGTTTTGTATTTATGTATTTCTCTTCTGCCCATGAGTGTACTTGGCATTTTGTTTCGTTTATTTAGTGGTTACTACTTCTTTGCTCAAACCCTTTCTTCAAATCTGTTACCTTAAATTCAAAGTAACAGTAACTTGGGACCATTAGATATCGGTTGTGTTTTCTGTTCAAATATACTAACAGTAATGAGAATGCTGAAGCATTTTGTCCTTATAGGAACACGCAGGCACAGACGTATTTATATGATTAGTACGTATGTATTTGTATACAGGTATATGTTTTTACATGTAGACACCATCCTGCTCCGTACTCCTGCCTTAACATCAAAATGTTCATCGTAGCTCTTCCACATCATGCTCTGACTGGTGTGTATCTGCTTTGTGCTCTTAATCCATACATTGTGGTTTGCTTAAAAAATTTTATGCCACATTTCCTCACAGGCCTTAGTAAACAGAAGGGTTAAAGCACAGCCTGCAGCTTGCTTAATTTTCCATTGAAGCAGCAGACAGCTTTTCATTTCTCCATTTGACTTCCCTTGTCCCTTGGATATCCTTCGCTCTGCTTTCATCCCAAGGTGCCCCTGGACAAAACACATGAAGTCATGCCGCTGTCTTCTGTAAAACCCTGCAGTCTGTGGCCCCCTGCACTCCTGATTTTATCTGCACGAAAAAAAGCTATTCTGAAAAAAAATGATCATATTGCAGGACCAATTTGCCTTTAGTGTGATACTCTTTTTTTAACAATGTTTTGATTAATATTTCAATCTGTGTGCTCTGAACTTGTTGATGACAGAAAGAGCTGTAGTTATTTTTCTCTCCATTTGCAGACCTGTACCAGAGAAGGAAAGCAGCCTTTTGTGGAAGGCTGAGCAGGAACAAATGCACCCAAAGTTTCCTATATTTTCCTGACAGCGCAGATCTGAACAGCTGTCCTGAAAGCTGCGTATTTGCTTAACTGACTTTGTAGTGCTTCTGCTTTTTAAAACATTAGGTAATGTTAAGATCCCTCAAAAAAAAAAAAAAAAAAAAAAAAAGAGGAAAAAAAAATTTTAACTGACCAGGCATGTACTGCTTATATAAAATGATCTTTCTTCAAATTTTATACTTTCTAATTCTGCTTTACTTCTGCTTTCTTTCGATTTAATGGCACAAAAATGTATATATATATTTTTTTTTGCAAGCTCTTTGCTGTGAGAGGAGTATTATGTCTGAGAAAATGACTGCAGTAAGCCTTTCAGATAAAAACATTTTGTATACTTAATAAAAAATAAAATTGTAAAAACATTGAAAGAAATTTTGTCTGGCAGTGCTTTTGTGTTTCAATGCATGTTCTGCTGTAGGAAACAGTGCAACAGGTAGAGACCAAACATATTTATTTACTGATGGTTTTGCCATTCTGTATCCGAATAAAAAGGCCATGTGGCAGCACCACATGATAAGAAAGTGTGGTCTCTGAGAAAAACAATGAAAAACTGGAAGTACTGATACTCCGGTTTAACTCTGTGTCTGTAGGTGGCCTCTTGCTTCAGAGGCCATGTGCGGAGTCTTGACCGTGGGGAGGAGCAACCCAGGGCAGCAGTGCTGCTGGAGGCACCCACCTGGAAGCAGCTCTGCATGGAAGGCCTTGGGATGCTGATGGATGCAGTAAGTTGAACATGAGTCAGCATCTGGTCTGCCACTACAGGATGTCCATTATGATTGGACTAGATGATCTTGTAGTTCCTTTCCAGCCTTGTGATTCTATGATTCTGTGGTTCTGTGATTAAGTACTGCCTGCAGGATGAGACTGGTGGTCCTTCCTATCTGCTCAGCACTGGTGAGGCCACACCTGGAGTCTGTTCTGTTCTTGGCTTCCCAGTACAAGGGAAATTTATACTGGAGAGAGTCCAACACTGGATGACCAGGAAGCTGTGGGGCCTGGAGCAGCTTCTCTTGAGGAGAGGTTGAGAGCAGGGCTGAGGCTTGAGAATTCACTGGTGTCCATAAATCCCTGAAGGAAAGTTGCACTGAGAATGGATCCAGGGTTTTTTCAGTGGTATCCAGTGCCAGGACCAGAGGCACTGGAAACAACCTGGAAAACAGGAGGCTCCATCTGACCATGGGACAGCACTCAGTGCTGTGTGGGTGATGGGGGTCTGGCACAGGGACCCAGAAGCTGTTGG